TCGTAATTTGTTGTCGTTTCCAATTTTTATACAATTCCCTTTTGATTTTCAGGTCATTAAAGAGCCGTGTTGGTCTCTTACTATTCTTCCCGTCTTTTTGCTGGCCCAGGATAAATAGTTATGGTTTCTTTCATATTATCTGTTTCTTTCACTTTTATTTCCTTTTGTAAGAGGGAAAAATTGCCACTCACATGGGAGAGATGAAGCCTCACATGTCACTATCGTCCTACTGGTAAATCAAGACAGACCTATCACATTCCAGTCACCCAGTGACTGTATATTGCTAACTGTTACGTGACTGATCCTGTATTTCTCTTACTTCCTCTTGCAGCTGCCCTCTAGTCCTCCGTCAGTGGTGGGGTGGGTTTGAATGCATGGAACATCCGTCTTATCTGGGCCATCGCACCTGTATCTGTGACAGGGGCTTACATGAACAAGTAGCCTCTTATTTCCCTCCCAGCTAGGAGAGAGTGGTTCTTGGTCCAAGGCACTCAGCCTGCTTAGGTTCACCCGCAGCATTAAATTTTAACAGCGCTTCTCACACTGGTCTCACCGAAGAAACACAAAACCTCCTGCTTATTTCACACACAAGGTGTTGCTGGAAGTCAGCAAAGCCCGGCAGAGAAGAGAACGAGAGCGGCCTTAGCTGACGTACAGGGCTTCTTCTGCCGTTTTCTTTGCACTCTTCATTCACTCCTGTCTGGCAGCTGGCATGATGCTGTTGGGAAAATCCCTCTCCCTTCTAGCTCTTTCTCCTCCTTTCCCTGATCAGAATGTCTCCAACACGCACTTGAGATCTGTCATTTGAATATACATCTCGTATTAAGCATAAATAACTAAAATCCCACTTTCCCACCACTATTGCTCTGGGATGTGTGGCCAGTTCAGCCAGTCCTCTGGTAGAAACCTCTTGTGTATTGGTGCCTGTAATATTGCACGTGGTTTTTCACACTCCCGTGAAAGTCTCAGTGCTTTGTCTCGCACAGACAATGGTATTGCTTGGAATACGGGCTCCTGATACATTTCATAGGTGCGTAGAGCACTTTCAGACCGGTGACCGAGGAAGCCTCCTGCCCAAAATGGGTTACAGAATGTATAGTTGAGTTACTCAACCGTAACTTAGTGTTGTAGTATCACCTGCCTCCAAGCTCCCTTTCTTGGTTCTTGCCTTACTTGGGTCTGAGTCAGCAAACTCTTGCTCACACACCTGTGGTCTGCAGAAGCACCACTTCGCATTGTACTGAGTGTTATTTAGGGTCAAGACCTTCTTGAGGACTTTAGCCATGGGCATTTTACATGTTTAAGAGCCCATCTCTAGTGCTTAGGAGTGTTTCTGTGTGTTTATATAATATCTACAGGGGAAGTTTGTGCGTATTTTGTTTCCCTTCCTTGAATGTATTGACCATACAAAAGAGACTTTCAGATGCATTTTCACTCAGGGAGAATTAAGAGACTTAGGTGCCTTAGCCCAGCCCTTAATTCTGCCATTTCGTAAGTTTTGAGTGCTTGACTTTGCTTCCTTAATCAGTACGTAGTACAGTGCCAAAAGCCGAGAAAAAACACAAAGAAGCATTAACTTCCCCTAGGCAGGGCTTGGTAGGCGGCCGTCTTCCTCAATTTCTGCTCAATCTCCTGCTCTCTCTCTGTCAGGAAACAAATGAGTTGGGGGATCTCTCTTTTTAGTCCCTTCCCTGAAGCCTGGCTCAGGGGTTACAGGGCAGGATGGATTGGGCCTGGTTGCATGGAGATTGATCCCAAAGAATTAAAAGTGTGTTTATGAACTCTTTCACTGTCCAACTTTAGGTAGATTTGGGGTGATTTTAACTTGGTTTTACTCAGTAACTTAGCAAGCACTCAAACGTATTAATTGAAATTAGGTGATTGATTATAAACAAGAAAGAACAAGAAATCAAAACAGGCGTTTATATTCAGACGGTGGTTGAATGATTATGCAAAACCTTTAAAGCCTTTCTCTGTTTGGAGGCGAAATATCAGACTCATATTTTCAGAATTATTCTTTGATGGAAGAGAAAGGGTTCACTTTACCCTCAGTGTAGAGGGCAGGCTCTTATTGTGTTCTTGACAGACGTGGCGTAGAGGAAGAAGTTAGAAGACGATTGGTGAATAGGGCTTCGGTTGATGTTTTTGAAACACTGGACTGCTGGTTTGTTATGAATGGAGGCTTTTGGTTGGCAAGTCAACCCTGACACCTGCTGCTTGGATCCTGGTGTATTTTTTGGTTGGGGACGTCATCTGATTGGATCTTTTCATCTTAGACCAGGCAGACTGGGATGGATACCCCTTAGTCAGCCTCAGAGTTTGATAAACAGCCAAGAGAATGAGAGCGGAAAGGCGTGGAGGGGAGAGGAACAGAAAATAACACAACAAGAGCAGGGAAAACAATCCAGGCTCTTCCATGCCTCTGAGGTACTAGCAATTGGATATGCCCACGGATGTGCTGAGGATTGGATGTCACAATCATGCAGGGACTTTCAGCACTCACAAGTGAAAACAAAGTTCCTTGAACAAGATTAAGGCCAGACGGCCTTCCGCTCAGGAAGAAAGCCCTTTAGATGAGTCAGGTGAGCTGGGCTGAGTTGTGGTGCTGGCAGACTGGGGCAGGAACTGTTGTGAGGTGGCAGTTGAGAGGGAGAGCTGAACTGAACTGAACAGATTGTGTCTTGTTTGTTCGCCATATCTTTGTAAGGAACCCAGAAAGGGGCAAAGCGGGCATCATGGTTCCTCTTTCTCACTAGTTAGGCCTCATATCTGTCACACCAGTTTTGGTCTTTTCACTCCTGGTTCCCCATTTTCACCAAACATAATTAACACTCCTTGGATGTTTCAACATGGCCTTTTGGGTTTAGACCAGTCCTGTTTCTTTAGGGCTTGATTCAGTGTGACCACCACCAGGCAGATTTGAACCTGGGACCTCAGTGTAGGAGCCTCTAGCTTGAGTTATAAAGCCAGGTGGCTCTCATCTTAGGCTGTAGAGTTGCCTTGTTCTTTTCTCTTGCTGAAAGTGGACTAAGTGCCACTCTATGGGATAGTGACCCACACTAGGTGTGTGGGTTACAACAGCATGTAGGGTCATTAACAACTTGACCTATTTTTCATGGTTATTGTAACATCTTAAGAACTTTGACATACTTCTTACATTTGAGCTTACTGGCCTCATGTCGGACCAGTAGTCACAACAGCCCTGCTTGTGTGGGGTCTCTACACCCATCACACCATTTCTGCGTTAAAGGGTTTAAAATACATTAAGGAAGGAAGCTTGTCTCACCTGGCGACTGTTGCTACGTAGCCTATGACACAGAGAATGTTACCGGCTGAGACCCTTCCGCCTGTGAATTGTGACCCGTGACCTGCAGATGTCGGGTCATTGCCACGAGTGGGGATGGTTATGACAGGGTGGTGGGAGTCTCCTCCTTCCCCAAGTGGGAGGATCATGTGGTGAATCCTCCATCGGTGCTGCGGGTCCCCGGGCAGCCGGTTGCGTTCATTGTCAAGATGGAGGAAAGAAAGTCAAGTGACAGCACTATACTTGGGAAAGTAGCCGCCCATGTCCCCGATCTCATCGTCTATGGCGATTTCTCCCAGGATGTGCCTTTCATTGAGAGTTTTGATGGGGTATTGCTTTTTGCAGACATCTCAGGTGGGTATAGAGATCATTAAGGGTGAGATTTTTAATAGGGCCCAAGGAAGTTAGGTGGCTGACTCCCGTTGAAAACCAGTGGGATGTATGTGCCTAAAGGCTTGCCCACGTGGCAGGTTATAAGCCGGAGTGTGACTCAACAGCAAGCCAGCACTGTGTGGACGATGCTACAGCAGCATGAAAACTCCCAGAGTGTGGCTTGCTCTCAAGCAGCAGGGTGCTAAGCTGTGCCCAAGGCTCAGCAGTGTCCCCCTGACCAGGTATGGGGCAGCAAGCTGGTGTGCTGAAGAATCAGACCTTGGCGTCTTGTACAGTAACTCACCCTGTAGTAGCCCTCTCCGAAAAGCCCACCCTGCAGCAATGGGAGGCTTAGGCCCAAGTCGAGCTGAGGTCACAGCTGAAATGGCGAGAGACTTTCCTCTGTGTTAAGAACATAAGAATGGTCAGACTGGGTCAGACCAAAGGTTCGTCCAGCCCAGTGTCCTGTCTGCCGACAGTGGCCAGCGCGAGGTGCCCCAGAGGGGGTGGACTGAAGACAATGATCAAGCAATTTGTCTCCTGACATCCTTCTCCAGCCTCTGACAAACAGAGGCCAGGGCACCATTCCTTGCCCCCTGGCTAATAGCCTTTTCTGGACCTAACCTCCATGAATTTATCTAGCTCTTATTTAAACTCTGTTATAGTCCTAGTCTTCACAGCCTCCTCTGGCAAGGAGTTCCACAGGTTGATTGTGTGAAGAAGAATTTTCTTTTGTTAGTTTTAAACCTGCTACCCATTAATTTCATTAGGTGTCCTCTAGTTCTTATATTATGGGAATAAGTAAATACTTTTCTTTATTCACCCTCTCCACACCACTCATGACTTTATAGACCTCTATCATATCCCCCCTCAGTCTCCTCTTTTCTAAACTGAGAAGTCCCAGTCTCTTTAGCCTCTCCTCATATGGGACCTGTTCCAAACCCCTCATCATTTTCGTTGCTCTTTTCTGAACCTTTTCTAAGGCCAAAATATGTTTTTGAGGTGAGGAGACCACATCTGTACACAGTGTTCAAGATGTGGGTGTACTATAGTTTCATACAGGGGCAATAAGATATTCTTCATCTTATTTTCTATCCCTTTTTTAATAATTCCTAGCATCCTGTTTGCTTTTTTGACTGCCGCTGCACACTGCATGGACGTTTTCAGAGAACTATCCTCGATAACTCCAAGATTTCTTTCCTGCTTAGTTGTAGCTAAATTAGCCCCCATCATATTGTATGTATAGTTGGGGTTATTTTTTCCAATGTGAATTACTTTACACTTATGCACATTAAATTTCATTTGCCACTTTGTTGCCCAATCACTCAGTTTGGAGAGATCTTTTTGAAGTTCTTCACAGTCTGCTTTGGTCTTGACTATCTTGAACAGTTTAGTATCGTCTGCAAACTTTGCCACCTCACTGCTTATCCCTTTCTCTAGATCGTTTATGAATAAGTTGAATAGGATTGGTCCTAGGACTGACCCTTGGAGAACACCACAAGTTACCCCTCTTTATTCTGAAAATTTACCATTTATTCCTACCTTTTGTTTCCTGTCTTTTAATCAGTTCTCAGTCCATGAAAAGATCTTCCCTCTTGTCCCATGACGACCTAATTTACACAAGAGCCTTTGGTGAGGGACCTTGTCAAAGGCTTTCTGGAAATCTAAGTACACTATATCTACTGGATCCCCCTTGTCCACATGTTTGTTAACCCCTTCAAAGAACTCTAATAGATTAGTAAGACATGATTTCCCTTTACAGAAGCCATGCTGACTTTTGCCCAACAACTTATGTTCTTCTACGTGTCTGACAATTTTATTCTTTACTATTGTTTCAACTAATTTGCCTGGTACTGACGTTAGACCTAATGGTCTGTAATTGCCGGGATCACCTCTAGAGCCCTTTTTAAATATTGGCATTATGTTAGCTGTCTTCCAGTCCTTGGGTATAGAAGCTGATTTAAAGGACAGGTTACAAACCACAGTTAATAGTTCCGCAATTTCCCATTTGAGTTCTTTCAGAACCCTTGGGTGAATGCCGTCTGGTCCCGGTGATTTGTTACTGTTAAGTTTTTCAATTTGTTCCAAAACCTTCTCTAATGACACTTCAATCCAGGACAGTTCCTCAGATTCATGACCCACAAAGGACGGTGCAGGTTTGGGAATCTCCCTATTATAGCCCTTTGGGCCATTTTGCAGAGTCGTCTGTCCTTAAGCGCCAAAGTGTTTGGGACAGGAGTAGCAGGGGACACGGCAGCAGCTGCTCAGGCCTGAGCTGTCGACGGCTGTCTCCATGCCGGAGCATCACACAGCTGTTTCGATACAATGGGGCCAGGCCAGTGAGCTCCTGGGAGATAAGGAGTAGGAGTTTGACTTTATATTACTGCCAGGACAGGTTGGATGTGGCAGGGGTGGCTGGTGTGGTTGTAGAGGGGGTCGTTTCCTGAGGTGTGAAGGCATCATGCCCAGGCGTGCGGCATTTCCGAAGCCCGGTCGGCGATGAGGAAAGCATATAGAGCAGAGACCGGGTCCTCCTCTCCAGGCTGAGGCTTTCCTAGGCCCCGGAGAGAAAGTTACTGGTCCATGCTCCTGGGTGGGGTCCATCATCAGCCAGCACTGCTAAGCCCCAGATTGTCTTGGCCGATGATGGATGGGTGCTGTCCGCCAAAGGAGACAAACTCCTCCTCCCCTTGGCACCTCCTCTGTCTTGCTCAGGGTCAGCAGTAATCAGGAGTTCCTAGGAGCTGATCAGCTCCTAGCTTTGGGCCACCTTGGTGCTAGGGCAGTGTGTCTAGGTATACATGCTGGTGGTGTGCCATCTGCACACTGCGGGCACCTGAGTGTGCCACCCTGGCTGCATGGGCAGACTGGTGCATCTGCCCATGACTTGCAACGGCCTCAAGTGTGAGCGCCCGGGTTGCGGTGAGTGGCCGGCGTTGTCTGGCCGTGTGTGTGGAGCGTTGGCTAGGAGTAGCCAGGGCTGGCTAGGCCTGAGGACTCTTTCGCGGGTGCTCTTGGCCCTTCTCAGGGCTCCTGGCACAGAATTCCCCCTTCGGCATGGCAAGGCCACACGCAGCCTGTCTGAGGGCCGGGACTCAGAGGCTCCACAATGCTGGGCTCCCCCAGTGCCGGCTGTTTGTGTCACAGGCTTCACGGCGCTGACAGAGAAGTTCAGCATGGACACCAGCCTGGACCGCGGTGCTGACCAGCTTACGCAGACCCTCAACCATTACGTAGGAGACATTGTGGAGGGTAAGTACCGGGCTGCTCCATCCCGCCCGGGCCAGGAGGGAACTGAAGAAATGCCCATCGAAATGCTCCAGGCCCTTCTTCACTTGGGTGGCTTCTCTGTCACTTAGGGAACCTTGACCCCCGCAACAAGGAGCCATGGGGGGGAGGGGAAGGGACGGGCATCCCAGTGCCACCCCCCTGTGAGGAGCCTCTGGTGGGCCCAGCTGCTCTCCCCTACCCCGACAGAGCAATTCCCCATGATGTTCTGTGACAAGAGCTGTGTGTGACTCCTCTTGCCTTTCTCTTACCGCAGAGGTGCTGATTTACGGAGGCGATATCTTGAACTTTGCAGGTATTTGCTAGCTAGCGATATCGAAGGAGGAAGCACTGGGGTGGGGTGCTCGCCTAGTCGCTGCCCCCACCTTGCTGCCTCTATCAGGGGGGAAGCAGGAGCTTGTGCTGGGGGGGAGCGGGCTAAAAAGCCGGTTCCCCTCCTGCACTGTCCCTGTGGGGAGCAAAGGAGGCAGAGGCACAGCGGGGAAGCGGCGTGAGTGGAGACTAAAGCAGTCCCCGCTCATGCCGGTTCCACTGTGGGGCCCTCTGGGGCTCTTGCTACATTTCCAAAACTGAAGTGCTGTAGCGGGAACACAGGGCGAGCGGGGGCGGCTTGAGTCCCTGCTTGCCCCATGCTCCCTGTGGCCCCCGCCCTTGCCACTTGATAAGAGGAGGCAAGGGATGAGGGAATAGGAGCCAGTGCTGGGGGGAGCCGGCTTCAAAGCCAGTTCGCCCCAGCACCGTCTCCGGGATGCTGCCTGTCTCCCCCTCCCCCCCCCCGCCTCTATCAGTCTCGCACTGGTCCGGGACGCTGTGCCCAGCGGCTCTGGTGACATTTCAAATGCAGCCGCGGTGCGGGTGGCTCCGGAGCTGGCGCAAGCAAGGACTGTTCAGTCCCGGCTCGAGCCGGCTCCTGGAGCTCCCCTCGCGGCGGCCCCGCAGAGCGGTCCTGTCGACTAACCGTACAGTCGATACAATGTGTATCGCCTATACGATTAGCCAGGTAACCGCAATTGAGCATCCTTATTAGAAACAACCCCCTTCCGCTCCCCCCGGGTCTGAGGGAGAGACCCTGGCTGCACCGCCTGTAGAACGGAGCTCAGACCGGAGTGAGGGAGTGGGGACCTCAGTGACGGAGCTCACAGTTGTCCACGGGCAGCAGGGGGTACACAAGCCGTAGGTGTACCTGGCACCAGCGGACATGGGCTGTGTGTGTGGGAGGAGGGAGGAGAGCATGCAGCAGGCCTCTGATGGTGGAGAGAGACGTGTGATCCGTGGCCATCTGGGATCCCCGGGAAGGAGGGCTCACTTGTACAAAAGCAGCTGCCAGGGATTACGGAGGGGGACTTGGTAGTCACAGCTGCCAGGAGCACACTGGGGCTGATGTGTTCTCAGCCAGTGAAGGAGGCTGGGGTGGTTAGGGAGCATCTCTGCGGGCCAGGGGCTGGGCTGTCCCCAGTAGATCTGCAGTGGCTTGTTGAAAAGTCGCATGGCTGCGCCGGCGCGTTCGGATCTGGACGAGCGCTTGCTCCTTCATCTCGGTCCCACTGCTGCCCCCAGGGGATGCCCTGCTCGCGCTGTGGAAAGTGCAGCGGAGCCAGCTGAGCGATATCATCACCCTGGCCCTGAAATGCAGCCTGAGGATCCAGGAAGAGTACGGGGTGCGGGAGACGGACGTGGGCCTGGAGCTGCGCGTGAAGATCGGTGCGTGGTTGCGGGCGGCGTCGCAGTGCTTGGTGCCGCAGGGTACCAGGATCATAGAATTGTCACGTCTACACAGCAGTGACGCCGACGCTATTCCGGAATATCTTCCTCCCCGTCTGCCCTGCAGGCAGTTATTTTGACAGAATGTCTTCCTCCGACTCCTGGAACCCCCATGGTGCGAGGCAGAAGGGAAGCCGGAGGAGGAGCACTCTCTCTCGGACTTCCTGCTCTGCAGACAGCGCCACAAGCCGAAATAAGCTATTTCCACTTCAGCTCCGCAATTGACGTAGCTCAAGTTGTGTCGCTTATTTCGGCGGTAGCCTGGCTGAGCAGACGTGCCCTATCTGTGCATGTTACACAAGGGAATAGGAAGCATTCGCCCCATTGTGCAGCGGGGGAAACAGACATATTGAGATGAAATAACTTGCTCTAGCTCACTTAGTGAATTGATGGCAGAGAGGGCAATGAGCGGTCAGGACTCCCACTCTCCTGCCCTAACCAGTAGGCAATACTGCTTCCTGAGTGTACTCAATGGTCATGTGAAGCCCCACACTCTCTCCTTGCTCCCGGGATGTGCCACTGAGAAACACCAGGCCCACACCCCCTTCCGTGTCTAGTGAGCCGGGAGTCTGTGTAGAAGAGGTGAATTGCTCAGTCCTCTGATCAATTACATCCTTTCCAGCCAATGCATGGGAAAGACGCTGCTGTTATAGGGAAAATGAATTTCTGGTCAGAGAGGAGAAGCTTTTTGGGACTGGCATAAAGAGCATTTCACCTCAAAATGGCTGGTTCACATTCAACCTGTGGAAATGGTGACAGATCTGTTCCCAGCTGGCTGCTCGGTGGCTCACATGAAAAGCGTTGCAGGTCTCGTGGGAGTTCCTAGCAGCCATCTGTGACACACCCTTACATCCAGAAACAGCAGCCCTGTCAGAGAAGCTGAGGACTGAATGGGCCTTCGGGATGAGACTGCTGAAGTGCCTTAGGGAAGCAGTTTGGGGCAGGTGATCCTGCATCTGGCCATTCTACACCTACCCTGTGTCTGAATTGGAGTCCATTTTCCATTGCAAAACAGGTTTGATGGACTTTTTCTCACAAGTCCTGGTAAGAAGCTGCTCAGAGACAGCCGTAGCCCCTTAAAAACAAACTAGGTTCTTATCAGCCTCTTGTAACTACATGAACCATCTGCTCACTGTCTATCTCCCCCCCCCTCCTTTTTTCTCTCCTTTTTCCTTCTCCCCCCACTCCCGCTTCCCTTGCTTATTCTTGGATCTGGACTTCCAACACTCCAGTCATCTGAAGAAGTGGGTCGCGCCCCTGAAAACTCATGATACTATCAACATGTTTTGTTAGTCTTTCAGGTGCTACTAGACTATTCGTTGTTTTTTAAATTTTTCCTGTTACAGACTAACTCAGCTACCCCTCTGAAACTAGGTACAGTTAGCACAACAAAAGGAGCCAGACAGTTTATTTATCAGTGCCTGGGTGGCACCTTTCATTAATGCTAGCTGTGCCTAGTTTATTTTTAAAGAGCTATGACTGTCTCTGAGTAGCTTCTTACTAGGACTTGTGGGCAAAATTCAATTCACATTGTTTTGCAATGGAAAACTGGGTTTTCTACTGAGCAGTTTTGCGTATGAAGAGTTCAGTTTTCCATGAAAATTTCAGTTTTCTGTAACTCCCTCCAACAAAGAGCCAAACACTGAAGCATGCAGTGCCTCCTGGGATTTCCAGACGGTTTTTCTCAAACGTGTTCATGTACGTATGTCTTGGTGGGCATTCGCTACATGCCAAGTACCAATTGCCAAACTTCAGTTGGTTTTGAGTTATCTGTCCATGAAGAAAAACATGCCAACAATTATTTTAAGGGTGTAAATGTTACGCTTCATATCGAAGAGTTGAACTTTGTGGAAACTTATGATCAGGTATAATTATAGGCATCCCCCAAGACACTGGATCATGGTTTACGTATAAGAGTTCTAGTCAGGTGCCCGAGGAATCCATTTATGGTCAACAAGCCCAATTCGAGAGTGACACAGCTTGTTCCAAACGTCATAGTTCCATGTAGTCTCTAAACTGGAGTCCAGGATTACAGCACACTGCTTTCTCAGACAGATATAAGCAGACTGTTTAATGGAAACTAATTTGCAACCATATAACGGATGCAACCTCATGACTAGAGTCCTGAAAATCCATGGCTATCCGCTTGATATCCATGGAGCATTTTTGAAGATGTGGATGTAGATACCAGTTTTGTATCCGCATGGGGCTCTACACATGACAATCCAAACCTCCCACCCCGGAAGAAATAGATTGGTCTCCAAAATCCACTTCCAAGATAGTTGAGATGCAGATGTTACAAACAGTAAAGTGTAAAAGCCAACATAACAATCCTGTTTCTCATGTCAGGGCTTTCTGCAGGTCACATCTCCAAAGTCATTGTTGGAGACAATAAGCACCAATATTTTCTGGTAATTGGCCGGGCAGTGGACGAAGTTCGGTTGGCCCAAAGCCTAGCAAAAGCAAGTGAGGTTATTCTGTCGCCAAACTGCTGGGAACTCTGTAACCGGAACATGATTGAAATAGAAAGAATCAAAGGTGAAAGAGCTGTTAAGGTGGGCAGTGCGGCAGGTGCAACAGTGGTACAGAAACAGTGTTGCCTTGTTATCTCGTGTGAGGTACGGTCACGTGCCCTGTTGTCTTGCTGGACGCGATCTCATTCATATGCTTGTGTGCGAGTCTGTTACTGGAGCCTCTGTCCGATGACCGGCTGGGCAGAGGGGTGTCAGAAGACTGACAATGCAAAAGCTAAAAGCGGTGATGAAGGAAGACGGCTTGGTAAAGCGAGGGAAATAGCCTGCACCCTGGCAGCAGGGGCTCACTGCTGGCTTCCTCTAGCCAGGAGTAGCTGGCTGGTAGGGAGTAAGGAGGGTAAGCCCCACAAGTGAGCTCCGAACTGGGTAGTGTAGTGTTGTGCTGCAGGGGACATTGCCAATGACTGTCTCTGGAGACGGCTGGTGGGCCTTTTGGCCTGCTAGCACATAGTCCGTGGCTGTGGGCAGCAGAGGAAGGAGGCCCAAAGCCACAGAGGATGCTCCCTGGGACTCCCAGCCTGGCAGTCTCCACACGAGAAGGGCTTCAGGTGGCAAGAAGGAAGCGGTGCAGAGCAGAGCACGCTAGTGCTCTCTGATTAGGGACCAGGGTTCTGACTTGGGGGACGTCTGAGCTCAGTGCTTGGGGTGCCAGGTAGGAGCAGGGAGGTTCTGGAGGCCGGGCTGGGTTTGCTCGAGCTGGAGGGCTGCATGGGGGCTGTCTGGTGGCCTGGGCTCAGAGCTGGTCCATTAGTAAAGGGTGGGTTGTGGGGTGGGTTTGTCAGCCTGTGGACAGCTGAGGGAAGAGCTGGGGGGGAAGGTTAGTGCCTAAGGGAGGTGGGTGAATCGGGGCTGGTGGAGAGGGTGGTTGGGGTGTGGCAGGACGCAGCTAGATTGGAATGGGAGACATTTGGACTATGAGAGACCAAGGAAGTGGTTACCGAGGGATGAATGTGGATCTCGCTCCCCTGCCCTTTACTGCCAAAGGCCCCAAAGCCTCATCCGGACAGGATAATGCAGAATTCCACTGACCCGTCCCCCGCACCGACCCCAGTGCCCCCTCTTTGCACTCCAACATACGATCAGCCCGCCAGCTGGGGCTTTGCTACCTTCCGCCCCTTCTGCCTGGCACCCGTTCTTGGAGAGCGGCAGCAAGAATGGGGAGGAGAATTAGACCTCAGGCCTTCTGGGAGTTTGGTTCTTATCCTTCTGGAGGTGCTGAGCGAGTGGAGAAGAAACTGAGCCCCGGTCGCACGCCTGTGCAGCAGTAAGCCCACTGAAATCAGGGGGGCCAATCAGATGCTGAAAGTGAAGCAGGTCCATAGGCATGTGCAGGGCTGGGGGCGTGGATAGACACCCAGCAGGAGAGTGACTGTGGAATTGGAGGGCTCTCCGCCCCCCGGCTTCTGAGACTGGACTTTTTTCCATTTGTCGGGAGTGCGGTCTCGTGTTCTGCTCCAGCCAAAAGACCCTCGCAGGTTCCTGCTGTGTCTTCTGCCCAGGGGACGGGGGAGAGGGTGGGAGTGACAGGGATGGGAGTGTGTTTTATTGACTGGGCTCAGGGAAGCTGACACTCCTTTAATTCCGTGTGCCTGTAGGCTAGGTACATCAAGAACCTCCCTGATAATGAGTTTGATGTGTTCTTCTGGAAATGTGCAGAATACCTGCAGCACTACCCCATGAGTGAAAATACCAGTGAGTCCCTCTTCCTTCCCCTCTCTCGACCCCTGGGGGGATGGGATTGTTGGGAAGCTGAGCTTTCCTTATTCTCCTCCGGTGTAAATGCGAGACGGTACACGGACTACACCAGGGATGGGGAGCGCCCTGCGTGGATACAAAATTGGGATCCACATGTGCATCTGCAAAACCGATCTGTGGGTATCTGCATTTCGCCTGCAGAGGCGGATACCCACGGCTGGAAAGTGGGCATCTGCATATTTGCAGGGTTCTAGATACAAACTTTGTGTCTGCATCTGTGTCTGCAAATATGAGTCGTGGAGATCCTCATCCACAGACACCTGCAGATATAAAGCGGACATCAGTGGATTTGCAGGGCTCGAGGGAGGGGGAACCCTGCCCTGTACTCCTTTGAGTTCCTCTGTTCTCCTCCACTCCCTGCCAGCAAAGTAGCCAGCAGCTTTTCAATTCCCTCTCCTGCCTGCTGGCTTCAAGCTGTCCGGGCACTTACGCTGAATTTTCTCCCCTAGGTATCCTGAGATCAACTTCCATGCTGTCACCAAACGATGAGCTGGAGAAGTCCCTCCGGAAGTTCGTGATGAGAAACATTCTGAAGAAGGTACTGCGGAAACTTCGCAGAGGTTTCTTTTTGGGCTCGGTGTTTCTTTTTGAGCACAGCTACAAGTTTTCCAAGTTTCTCCAGATGCTACAGAGGAAAACAGAAGAAACTTTGCACTGGGTAGTGGTGGAACAACTCGTCAGCATGCCAAGAGTTTTCCTCCTCCTTCCTGTTTGGCATGAGGGTTTTGATCTTTTCCGAAACTCTTGGATTTTATTTTAAAACATCCTTACTATTATAACACTGGATGCTGCCATCACTTTTTGATATCAGTTGAGTTCTTGGCTGCAGGTAACGCATTCCACAAGCTAGGTGTATAAAAAAGCTTTTTCCTCGGTTCAATTTAAAATTGTAAAGTCTGTGGGGACACATTGGTTTCAGCAGCGTCTGCTTGGCTAGCTCCCTCTCTGCCTACCCCCTCATACTGCAGTTCTCTTCTGGGGAGTCATTGTCACGAGATCAGAGGGTGCATTCCTTCCTGTAGCTGATAAAGCAGTTCTGTCCTCAGCACCTGTATCTGAGAGCAGTCAGCCCAGCTGGATTAGGGGTACAGTATGGAGAAGTGAATGCTTCCTGCTCAGCAGAAGGCTGGACTGCTAAGGACATCTGGCTCTCCTCTTCCAGATTGACGACAACCAGCCGCTGGAATATTTGTCGGAGCTGCGGCCGGTGTCGATCGTCTTTGTGAACCTGCAGTTTGACGAAAGCGCCAACACCTTGCATCTGTGCAAGGCCATCCACGATGCCAACATGAAGATCTCAGAAGTCATCTACGTCTTCAGAGGCAAAATCAACAAAGTTTTTATGTTTGACAAGGTGAGTGAGAGGAGTTCCAAGGCCTTTCCGGCCCGGCAGCCGGCACTGTCCGACAGTCCCCGACGAGGAGGCGAGAGGGACTCTGGTCTTGTCGACAGAGACCGAGAAGGGAGGCAGAGGCCAGAGACCAGGAGCAATGAACATTAAGAAGCTCAGTGCTGAAGAGACAAGTCTGAGGCAATGGAGGGACCTCCCCGGGCATTTGGGGGGACACTGTGACAGCCCTACTCGAACGGAGAGCGGGGGCACAGCGGTTTGCTCTGTGGTAAGCCCCTTCTCCTTCAGGGTTTGCTTTCCCTTGCCTTGCAGGGCTGCACGTTCCTGTGTGTGTTCGGACTCCCTGGGGATAAGCAGGCTGATGAAAGCACCCACGCCTTGGAGAGCGCGTTTCATATCTTCAACTTCTGTTCCACCAAGCTCATGAAACTCAAGTAAGCAGGCTGATGCAGTTCTTCCCGTTGCCTGCAGGGGCGCTGTTGGGCTCACATGCCACTGAAACGCCCTCCTCCCGATGGGAGGGTCCCCTAGCGGGCAGGAGGCAGTGACATGGCAGCTGGGAGACCTAATTTGGAAGTAGCCAGTTTACCTGGGCTGCCCTGTGTGCTACTTGGCCCTCCATTCTGTGCCACTGGAGCAAGGGCACCGCGTGGTGACGCTGTTGTGATGGCTGTCCATGAATCTGGAACCTGCTGACGGCGAACCTGAGCATCTTCAGAGCAAAATCAAAGCCGCCCTCACTGACCTGTCCCACAGGAGCCCACGGATCTCCCGTCTCCTCGTCAGTCCCTGCAGAAAAGAGAGAGCAACGGGGCTTTCCCCAAAGAGGCCAGCTGGGCAGGATTTCAGCCCCGTTTGTGTGGGAATGACAAATTCTCTGTGCTCTAAAAGCGGTTTGCCCCGGCTCTGTCCGCACCGTGAGGTGTAATGGGGGGCCTGGCAACCCCCCACACCACGTGCCTGGTGGGAGTTGGAGCGGCCTGCTGTGCCCAGCTTCTCCGCGGCAGGGGAAAGCGGAGCACCCTAGGCCGGAGCGCTCTGTTTCTGCCGCTGCTGAGAAGCCGAGCACAGCAGGCTGGGAGAGGAGCTGGCTGCCAGGGCGCTCTGGCTCCCACCGCCTGCATGCTGAGTATGGGGATTGAGCCCTGATGCCACCCCACGCCAGCCCCATAATTCCCTGGGGCCCCCCCGTCCATTGGACAGTTGGGGCAGCCGCCACGGGGCAGGCATTCATCCTATGGACAGAATGGTTCTGGAGACCAGGACCGGTGTCCCCTTTTGAGTCGATAAGCGATGAAACCAAACCCCACTCTCTTTTCACACCGCCGGCACTGACCTCCTTGGGTCTTCGTGTAACTGGACTCCCCTGCGCTTCTAGGCTGCCCCTCCAGCGCCCCTCCAGCACCTGCTTTTCCAGCAGGGCGAGTGCAGACGGGCACGCTCTGAGGGCCGCATCTCTGGTCTGCCTGGCACAGTGCGTGACAGCCAGTCGGGGTGGGGGGGTCTTGTGCTCTGCCCGCTTGTCACTCCCCCCACGGGGCATGAAGCCCACCAAGAGCCAGGTAACAGAACCACTCGTCTGCAAGGGGATTACATTCCAGGCGTGAGTATCCTGCGCGATCCGGGTGCAGTGAGAGTTCCAGTGAAGCAGCACCCACGGTAATTGGCGTGCCGCAGCAGTGGGCAGGGCATTGCAGAGTGGACCATGTTACACGGAGGGAGGGCGGGAAATCCACACCCATCTCACTGCTCCCCGGCCCGGGGGGCATTTTAAACATGCCAGATTTCTACTGCGGGCAGGTGAACGTGACTGAGAGTCAGGCCTCCACTTCCTGCTTCGCACCAGGCGACGGGCGCTGCGCCGTGGCTTTGCACTACAGGGAGAACTCACCACCCACGGGACCTGTGGCGTGGCCTACGGAATGTGGCCCCTGCCTCACGCTGAGCCACCGTGCAGTTCATTCACAGGCTTTGTTCCCCTGCATGGGAGCCGGTGTGGCCGAGGCTTGACTCAGCAACCCTTCACCTGTCGCAGTGGACATGAGCGCCCCTCGGCCGCGCTCTCCGGGCAGGGCAGGCTAGTTCCAACTGTGATGCTACTGCAGGGACTGTCACGGGTGCGAAGGAAGCTCACGCACGCAGAGCTGCATGTAGCTGAGGCCTCCAGAGCACTGGGAGACCTAGCTGGCTGAGGCGGGGGCCATCAGTACCAATAAGAACGGGCGGAGGAGGGTGGGGAGAGGGTGCGTGAGGGACTGGGTGTTCGGGGCTGCTGACTCCGTGTTGCTCTCGTGGCTTGCTAGGCTAGTTTCCATCGGGGTTACCAGTGGCCCAGTGTTCTGCGGAGTCGTTGGCCATCGCGTAAGGCACGAATACACAGGTACAGTCTGTTTGTCTGGTCCTCTGTGTGTTTGGTGCCCCAGGAATGTATGTGGAGGGGTGCGTAGGCTGATGGGGGGCTGGGCTTGCTCCGATACCTATGGCGCTCCCCACAGGAGGGTGGGCAGGAGCTCCGCTAACCTTTCAGTGCCCCCTTTCTCGCTCTCTCTGCTGCAGTCATTGGCCAGAGGGTGAATCTCGCTGCCCGGATGATGATGTATTATCCGGGGCTGGTGTCCTGTGACGCAGTGACCTACGCCAACTCCCGGCTGCCCCACTACTTCTTCGAAGAGCTTGCCCAGGTGGAGATGAAAGGGGTTGTGAAATGTGGGGAGGTCTATCACTACCTCGGCATCAGTGAGAAAACGTAAGTGCTCAGGCACCCGGAACGGCGAGCCGCTGTTACCGCCCAGCTTTGGGGCTGCTAAGCCGTGTGGCCGGTCTCTGACACCTCAGCCTGCCTGCCATGCCAGCCAGCTGCTCCAGACGCCGCCAGTCTAACCCTTGCCTGGAACAATCCGCGAGCCCCAGGTGCTGAATTCTCCAGTGAGCAGTCCCTCTCTAAGCTCACTGCCTGCTAAGAGATAGACACACACCCGCCCACTAGGCAAGCTGGGGCCACCCCCTTCACTTTAGTACAGAGCTCTGGGCTGGTTTTATACTAAAAGGGTTTAGTCACACAGCCCACAGGGTTAAGTGATACCAAGCGAGGGAAAAAGAGTCAGGCAAGGTCATAGACAAAACCAAACCAAGCAGGCTTCTGGAGACTACAACGGAATCGTAGCAAGTTGCCCGTTTCTCCCTCACTTTATGTTTCCAGAAGCACTTGCCTTTCAGGCCGAGAGAATCTAGTTTTCGTAGGCTTAAAGCGGGGGCGGGGAACCTTTTTTGGGTCAAGGGCCGCTGACCCACAACAAATCAGTTGGGGGCCACACACAAATGAGAAGCAAAGCAAACAACCAAACTCTCTCGCTGACATGGCCCCCGACTGAGACGCAGAAAGGCCCTCCCCACATGCCCCTCGCACACCAGAGCCCAGGCTAGATTTTGTGTGCTCCAGCCCCGTGAGGGTGGAGGGTGGAGCCCCCAAAACTGGGAGGAGAGCCCTGAGCCTTGGGGGTCAGGTCCAGGCAAGCTGCCCCCAGGCCTTAGGTTCCCCACCCCTGGTTTAAAGGGCACTGTACTCCTTAGTGAGAGAGGATTAAAAGGTCTTTTTGTTCCCTTGCTAGTACCCAAAGTCCATTGTCTCTGCCTATAGAGCCAGGAAGGCTTCCTGGGGTACAGATGCAACCCCCTGGCACAATTGTTAAGCAGTCTTCTCTCCATGTAAATATGAGAATATGTAAATATACTTCCAATGTCTTCTGCTGGGAACCTAGGAGGTGAGAGAGGGGAATAACCGTTCCTTTGCCTAGGGCAGACGGTGGGTTTTATGCTGTACTTCCTAACCCCTTTTCATGACTATGTTTCCAGCCCTCGTCTAGAACTCTCTGCACCCAGCCTGGGCAAACACCACACAAGGATTTTTGGGGCCAGGGTGACACACAATACGTTTCACGACACCTTTGCGATCTAGTTCATGACAGCAGTGTGTAGGGCCCTCAGTATGTCGGATCTGGTGTGAGTTAGAGACAGTAGGAGGGCTTCTGCCAGTTGGCATTGACTCCCCGAGTCACACCCCCATTTTACCCCAGGGTGTGTGGGGGCGATGAAAGGGCAAGTTTCCTTTGATCAACACAAAGTGGGCGAGTGCTGTCCTGGCGGTTCAAAGCCACAATGTGCATCATGCCTGCCTAACCCAGAGCATCATCTTACTGCTGATTTAACAAGTTTCATCTCCCAAAATCCTGAACTTCTCCACACAAGTTGGCTGCAGGCAACTCTTTGTCAACAAGACAAACAGCTGCTTGGTCAGCAAAGAATAGCCCAGTGTAAGGATACCTTGAACCGGCATCTCTTCAATCAATCCTTATGTCTGAGAGGGTGGGTAATTGTGGTGTCTGATTTGCATCACCTTCCCACACCTCCATCAGTTCCAGTGACTAGGAGACCGGGAACAGCATCATGGAAATGAAACAGCATTCAGTGTTTCTCCATACACCTAGAACAGCCTTGCAGTTCAGGCTTAGGGGCACGGCAAACTAAGAAAGAACAAAAGTAAAGTCTCCAGACGGAGTCCCTCCTTTGGAACATGCTGCATCAGAAATGTAAAGGCGCAGTGCAGAAAAAAACAAATTCATAGCAATCCAAAAATAATGTCAATTGTTATTGTGTTCAGAGGACAAGTTTGATTGTGTTTTGTTTTTCATATATCCTGATAGCTCCTTTCACCAACAGCTGTTTCTACAAGACCTGCTTTGCTCTCTTTGTCCAAACCTAAGGCTCCATTCCTACAACTCCTCTATTTGGAGGGAGCCCCACTGAAGTCAGTGAGAGGCCGCATGTGGGGGGCAATTTGCAGGAGCCTGGCCATTGTTAATGTATAGCTTGATAAGGAAAGATTTTAAAAAGCAGCATGGTAGCACAGAGCAAGCACCGATTTCATCCACCTTCTTACCTATTAATGGCTTACTTGCTTTCCCCATGGTACATTGATAGAAACATTCCCCTTACGCGGCCTTTGTCTAGAGTTAACTCATTCTGCTTTTTTTTTTTTTTTTTGCTTTCCTTATCTTTTCCCCTGCAAGCTTTATTGAATCTGCCTATTCCTGCTTCTCTCGCCCATTTGCAGTACAGAATTGTTTGTTACCTTCCGATCCGTAGCAGCCTCAAGATGCCAGTCTGGTGGGCATTGCATTGGTCATTTACGGAAGAATCCTCGGCTGTTGTGTTTCATTTCCTTAGCTCTGCACCTCTCACCGTTAGGCTTGGCTACATCCTCCCATTACACCAAGCTCACTAGGCCCCTTAATGATTGATGCTTCGCTAGCGCTCCTCTGAAGGGAAACCCCATGACATTACATCACCTCTGCTTGAGATTCTGAGTGCAGGAGGCTTGGAATAGGGAACCCGTCTGGGACGCAGGGCTTCGGCTCAGAGAGAGTGGGACCCACTCAGGTAGATTCCGGCCAGGAGTATTTCTGCTCTTTAACCGCAGCTTTCCTTTCTCTTCCTCCTTGCAGAATGATTGGCAAGGCGTATCTCACCAAGGAGAGGTCCGAGTACTATCCCTTACTGGGTAGGTGGACACAGCTCGTCGGGACTCCTGTCCGTTTGTCACTAGGGGCCTGCGGAGCAGTTGCTTCTAGGAAGAGCCTGCCAGGGGAATAGGGCAAAAATGTCTGAGGGGGGAGCTATGGAGGCTATGAAGTGACTGACCAGAGGGATCATTCAGAAGTGTACACGTTGGCGGTGTTCGGGGTGCTTTTAAAGACACCCGGCCTGTACACTGGTGCGAAGGACTGCAGGTGCCGTCTGTAGTTAGCAAAGAATATGGAACCCATGTTTACAGTGTTGCGGCAGCCGGTTGGTCCCAGGAGATGAGAGAGCCTAGGTGGGAGCTGCTGGCGGTGGAAGAGACAAGCTTTTGCACAAAATGTTTAAGTGCCCACTTCATTTTAAGTGGTCTCCTGCTACGTGTGTGATCCCCGTACGCTTAGCACTCTGTTCCACGTCTGTTCAGCTGCAACGCCCTGGTTCCCTTCCCCAGAACGGAAGAGCAGCTTGGTAGACTTGAAAGCTTGTCTCTTCCTCCAACAGAAGTTGGTCCAATGGGGAAGATACTACTTATGCTCCCCATTTTGTGTAATGCAGGCCCATTCTTATCCGCTCCCTTTTTGTCTTTGACTAGCATCTTTTCACTTCACTGACAAATGGGGTTGAAACCAAATGCCAGATCCAAACCCCCCAATACTGGGTGAGCCCCGACCCGTCTCTAAGGTTTAATCCAGTTGTTCTGTACAAGCTGATACACTCAACTACCTTATGTCTCACTTGGGATGAATCTCCTGGTTGGCAAGTGAAAAGGAGAGATGTACGTTATATTCCCTGTGGCTGCTCCAGTGAATGTAGTTGAGGGGTCTGTAACAGGCAGGCTGGCTACGAATCTGAAGAGTGACACTGGGTATGAGAATGCACAAGGAGTTGTGTGAAGATAGGGATCATGTGGTCACACTTCTTTGGCCAGGTCTACACTAAAGAGGAAGGTTGAACTATGATATGCATCTTCAGCTACGTTAATTACGTAGCTGGAATCAACGTACCTTAATTTGAGCCAACGCTCCAGATGGCTTCCCTTACTCCTTGAAGGAGCATGAGTACTGGCTGCCAATGGGGGCACCCTCTGAGTTTGATTTAGCAGATCTTAACTAGACCCACTAAATCAAATTCTGGAAGATCGATTGCAGCAGCATCGATTTTCCCCTTAGTGAAGACATGGCCTTTGTGTTTGGGTGGGAGAGTAGCTGCAGTTGGTTTTGGAGAGAGGGAAAACTGTAATTACCACGACGAGGGGGGAGAAAGAGATTGATAAGGACTGCAGCAGAGGTGGAAATGAACCAGTGACTTACGTATGCGTTTCCTCTATGGGGGAAAGAGGTGCAGCCACTGCTAAGAAATGGGGGAAAGGGACTTGCATTGGGGAAGCTTTGTCTTTGCTTTCTTAAGTCATTCTGTCTTTCTTAGGTCGGGAAAAAGAGCTTGAACTCTATAATAATTTACTGAGGAATTTTGTGGGGTCTAAAGAAGGCCGTGTTATAATATATGAAGGCCTTATGGGCTATGGAAAGAGCCAGCTACTTGCTGAAATTGCCTACTTAGGCCAGGAGGCAGGCCACAGGTAAGTGCCTTTAACTTCACGGTGATGCATCTGACCCACTTTGATACACCTGTGCCCACGCATCTTGACCCTGAGCTGTGACAAGCCTCCAGAGGGGGCAGGAATTCCAAATAGTACAGAGATTTTGGGAGGCTGGCACAAGCTGAGACAGCCAGATGCCCGTCTCTCTGGCTGCAAACAAGTGGCTTAAATGCACCCCACTTAAAGTGAGGAGCTTTTAGTAACTTCCTCCTCTAATGCAAATATCTTACATAACAGCCAGCAGTCACACGGGAGAGAAAACACCACGGGCCCAGTGTACCTATCAGCACACGCCTACTGCTCGAATTCTTCGTTTAATAAATGAGGCAATCGCTTGTAGTTGGGTGGTGTTGAAAGGCCCTGTGTGGTAGCTGCCTCAGAAGCTGAGCACGAAGGGCTGAAGGACCCTATTCCATTATTTCTCCTTCACTCGGAAGCTTTGTCTATGTGGCTAGCTGTCCAGGCAGTCAAGGGCAGGTTTGTGTTTCTGAGTCTTTCTCTGAGGCTATGTCTAGACTACACGCCTTTTTCGAAAGAGGCTTTTTCGAAGGATTCTTTCGAAAAAGAGCATCTAGACTACAACCAGTACTTTCGAAAAAGCAAGCCGCTTTTTTGAAAGAGAGCACCCAGGCAGTCTGAAAGCTCTCTTTCGAAAAAGCACAGTTTGCATTACATAGCGCCTTTTTTCCAAAGAGCACTTTTGAAAAAAGGTGTTATTCCTCATAAAATAAGGTTTTCCGTGGTCGACAAAACTGCCACGTTCTTTCGATTTACTGTCTAGATGCAGGTAAAGATTTTTCGAAAAAAGGCCACTTTTTTTGAAAAATCCCTGGAGTCAAGAAACACCCTGAATATGCTGGCTCTTCCTTACTCCTCTGTAGAACGTCCTTATTTCTCTTCATGTTAACCGCACAGGGTTGTTGCTATGGAGTTGACAAAGGTAAATGTCAAGCAGAACTTTTTCACCATCCGGACTCTCATGGCCATGTTCCTGGGGATTGACACCTGCAAATCATACGATGCAAGACAGCGCATCCTCCAAGGCAAACTCCGAGGTGTGATAGACGAGACCTACTACTGCCTCCTCAATAACATCTTTCTCATTAAGGTAATGGAGAAAGTTCCCCCTCTCCGGGGAAGGCCTGCCTGTGGAATGGGGGTTGGTGATTCACCTTGCTTCACCCTCAGTCTGCATCTGTCCTTCCTGCCCCGAGCTTGCCCGCTAGATCAAAGGCGTGAGTGCTCATGAAAGTCAGCACGGTCAATATATTTGGGATAGACACAGTGCAGGGCCTGGCTGCAGAAATGTGTGCTCCCAAATCTGCTAGTGGCATCGTGCCATGGATCTGATTCTGTCCACTGGGCTCGTCCTGCACCCTGATCGTTACTCCCACCGTGCGGAGGGGACTGGCTGTGCGCACACAACTGCCCAGCCTCACTCTGAAAGGACCCGCCTCTTGGCTTCCACAGCCCCGTCCATTGTCAGTCACCTGAATCCCACAGACTTCAGCATGGCCCCTCTGCTGTAGGCCCCCTCCCACCCAGAGCAGGACTGAGAGCAAGGCCTTATTTTACATGGTCACCAAAGAGTGGTCAGAGGGTAGCTTTGTTGTTCAGCTGGACGTAGATGAATGATCTAGATCGAGACAGGCAAGATATGGCCCACGGGCTGGATCCGGCCCAGCAAGCCTTTTAATCCAGCCCAGAGCCTGCCCCTGTGGCAGGCTGCCCCCGCCCCCAGCAAAATCTCTCAGCTCCTACTGGCCAGAAACTGAAAGCACATGAAGCCTCCCCCAGCAAGGAGAGCCATAGGAACAGCCTCCCAGACCCTGCCCCCCTTCTACGTCCCTCCCCCAGGCTAGACCCCACCCCTTCCCATATCCCAACTCCCTCCCAGATCCTGCACCCTTCCTAGATCCCTCCTTCAAGCCAGAATCCTCTCCTGCGCCCATCCCTCTTCCCAGATCCTGCACCCTTCCTAGATCCCTCCTTCAAGCCAGAATCCTCTCCTGCACCCATACCCCCTCCTGGACCCTGCACCCCAATTCCCTTCCCCAGGTCACCACCCAAACCCTCTGCACCTTCCTCACCCCATCATAGGTCACAACTCCCTCCCAGATCCTGCACCCTTCCTAGATCCCTCCTTCAAGCCAGAATCCTCTCCTGCGCCCATCCCTCTTCCCAGATCCTGCACCCCAAACCCCTGCTCCAGATTACAATCCCCTCCTTCACCCAATAAGCCCTTTTCTGGAAGATCCCTTATTCCTACTTCCAAGGGTTTATTTTCCGCAAGAGCCCATCTAGACTGGTGCTTTTCTCCGGCAAAACCCTGAGCCGGAAAAAAGCGGCAGCCATGTTCATGCAAATGCCGCGGGGGATATTTAAATCCCCCGCGGCATTTGCAATTCCAAAGTGTCTCATTAGCATCCCTTTTACGGAAAAGGGTGCCAATGTAGACACAGCCATGGAGAAACTCCATGGGCCTAGAATTTAGTTCCAAAGGAAAGCCAAACCATTTTTTAAAAAGTGCACAGACACCAGATCCCATACCCAAGCCATAAAACAATAAAACCTGATGGATTTATCTAAACTTTACCCTACTTACAGAAAGTGAAGAAAAGGTCTTTTCTTGGAGGGAGACAGTGTCTGTCCCCCTTAATAGCTGGGGAGAACTGCCCCCAGAACAAAGCAGGGAAAAACCAAAAATTCCTTTGTCCCAGTTTGAAATTCCTACCTACGTTCCTATTGGCCACTCCACCTGGCTAGGTAAGGGACACAGTTAACCCCGTAGTCCCCAGGCTGCTGGCTAACCCTCATGATCATGACACCCCCCATCAAAAAGTATTGCCCTCCCCTGCCCTGTCTGATGCAATCCTTGTGTGGAAAGCATAGACACAGAGATGAACGTGTGTGTGTGTGTGACAAGGCTGGACATCTCCATCCGGGCTCTTCCCAGGAATGTGTATGTCACAAGCAGTGACCCTGCCTCTCTGGTTCACTGGTCTCATGTTTTTCTGAGCAGTTCCCCACCTCGGCAGAGGTTTCCAAAATGGATAATGAAACGAGGGCAGAGGAGATGGAATCCTTTCTTGTGAAGATACTACAGAAGGTGAGCTACTGTCTTCACCAGGAACCAGAGAGAGGCACCTGGAGCTGCATATTCTGCTAACGAGCAGCTCGTTAGCACTCCGTGTTGCCTGGCCATTTCCATATGTTCTGCCCGGGAATCTCACTCCAGCCCTAGCTCCTGTTACCTGCGCTCTCTGTGTCACCTCTCAAGTTCGAGAGTGGGAACGGTGTCGTTCTGTGGCAGCGAGTGCACTTCTGGACCCCTCTCGGGCTCAGAGTGACGTTGTGATGACAGTACAGTCGCATACGGACCCTCTGCACCAGAGAGTCTCAAACCGCATTGCTACATGACCCCAGGAGCGGGGACCGGAGCCTGACACTCCTCCCGGGTGGGGGGCAGGAAAGCCAAAGCCCGAGCCCCTCCCCCAAGGGAGCAGGGGCAGATGCTTGAATGGCGTGGGGCGAGGAGAGCAGGCTAGGAGGTGGGAAGCCCTGGGAACCCACCTGGTCACCTCCCTAGTCAGCACAGAGGAGCAGGTTAAGAAGAACTTGGGAGCACTCTGCCGGAGGGGCCGGGGATCCAGGCCTGCCGATGGGTAGGGCAAAGGGGGCTGTTTCCCTGGGACCCAGGGTTCCCGGCCGTTGTTGCTGCTACTGTGGCAGCCGGCGCCTTAGGCCCTTTAAATCGCCCCCGGGGCTCCGGGCCATGCGCTCCGTGAGGCTCTGAGGGGGGAGCAGGGTGCCGGGGGCTGGCGGCCCCAGCCCCACCCCTTCTACTGGAGGACCCGCCCCTGTTGGGAGTGCGGAGCCCCCCCTCTTGTCCAGGCCCCTGCACAGCTCCATTGTATGCAGACCCGGGTACCCGGCCCAACCAACACGAAGGAGCGGCAGCTGCTCTTCTGCACCTGGGGCTGGAGTAGCTGTCGTGGGGTGGGGGTGAGGGCTGGGGGCCCTGGCCTGAAGATGTACCTCTCCAGAGCAATCCCTGAGTCAGGTGATTCTTTCCCTTCTCAGACAGTGGAGAAAGACATTCTCATATTTGTCATTGACGAAGCCCACTTCATTGACTCCGCCTCCTGGGAGTTTCTGGACAACTTGCTCTCCAGCATCCCCGTGTTCATGGTCATGTCTATGTCTGCTCCCAGCCGCCACGCTCGGCTGCCGTGCACCTCTGCCACAAGCATCATCAAGAGCCCCAAGACCACCTACGTCCAGCTGCGGGAGCTAAAGGCCTCGGTGATCCTGCAGAAAGCCTGCCAGGACCTCGGGGTGGTCAGCATCCCCCGGGAACTGGAAACGTAAGTGACAGGCACCTGCGCTGGGCTCCGAGCTGCGAACCTGCCTTTCTCCGCAAAACAGAGGGGGGGCAGGGAACACGCAGCTCCTGGCCAAGTGACTCACGCCGTAGGGTCCATGCAAGCAGGGGCAAAGCTTGTTCCTGGTTCTGTCACTGGCTGGGTGACCTGGAGCAGGTCACGGCATTGCGCAGTGCCTCAGTTTCCCCATCTGTAAGATGAGGATGATGACCCTGACTCCTTTGTGAAGTCCCTCGAGAGCCACTGATGGAAAGCACCACAGGAAATCCAGGTATATCCATTATTAACCTAGAGCTCTTGGCTTGTCCCTGCCTTCTAATCATCTGGCTTGCAAGTCCATCCCAAGCTGGTTGCGTGTCTGGGCATCGCTCCATGCGTTTGCTCCCTCGGCAGGGAGCTAAGGTGGTAGCCTCCATCCCCTCTGTTGTGGTGAAGTGCGGGGAAGGCTAAGATGTTAACTTGACCTTTGTTTTCTGCCTGGCCATTCAGCAGCCAGCTGTGAGCCTGGGTGTGTATTACAGAGACACCCTGTCAACTTTCCCTCAACGCCAAGGAGGAACATACAGTGTGAGCTGCCTGAGCCCTGAGGGGGAAGTGGCTCTGCCTTGCGACCAGACTGACAGGAATGTGACCAAAGTCCTTCAGGGCCAGAATTCCTTGCGGATCGTACAGGGCCCAGCCCACGGGGGAAGGGAAAGGCTAGGTGTGCTGCTAGGTTTCCCGCCAACAGGCATGGCTAGAGACAGTGCCAGCTCTTTAGGTAAAGGGGTAGGCATAGGAAGGGAGCAAAGACGAGGCCGCAAAGGCTGAGGAAATGTGGGTTTCTGTCAGGGGTCGCCCCAGGAATCAGTGCAGGCAGGGCAGTGGTGGCATGTCTGGCGTCTCAGCCTGCCATGGTGCTGCAGTGTGGTTCAGTCGGCCTCCCGGTTGGCTGGCTGGAAGCTGAGGAGGATCCTAAATGGGGCCGTGGGGACAGGTGCGGGAGAAGAAACCAGCAGAAATCTTCAGTCTCCCTTTCGGGAGGCAGCCTGGGATCCAGCTGTCAAGTGATGAGGCCCAAAGTCCTGCCCAGTCCGGGTGAAGCCTGGATGTGCTCGGCGTAATTCCCAGAGCGACAGGAGCAATGCCAGCAGATCGAGGGACGTGACTATTCCCCTGTCTGCAGCACCGGTGAGGCACATCTGGAGGACTGCGTCCAGTTTCGGGCCCCCCACCACAGGAGGGATGTGGACAAATTGGAGAGTCCAGGGGAGGGCAACAAAAATGCTGAGGGGGCTGCAGGGCATGACTTACAAGGAGAGGCTGAGGGATTTGGGCTTATTTAGGCTGCAGAAGAGAAGAGCAAGGGGGGATCTGAGAGCAGCCTTCAGCCACCTGCAGGGGGGTTCCCAGAGGCTGGAGAGAGGCTGTTCTCAGTGGTTGCAGATGGCAGAATGAGGAGCAATGGTCTCAGGTTGCACTGGGGGAAAGGTCTAGGTTGGAGATTAGGAAAAACGATTTTTCCTAAGAGGGCGCTGAAGCACTGGGCTGGGTTCCCCAGGGAGGGGGTGGAGTCTCCATCCCTAGAGGTGTTTAAGTCCCGGCTTGACCAAGCCCTGGCTGGGCTGATTGAGTTGGGGTTGGTCCTGCTTTGAGCAGGGGGCTGGACTCGATACTCCTGAGGTCTCTGCCCGCCCTCTGGTTCTACGATTGGGCTTTATGGGAGAACAGAGGAAGGTGCTTGAGGAAGAGGCCGGTTGGGGAGCTGTGATGGCTTAGAACTCTGCAGGCAGCTGCAGCCGCCTCTGCGCTGAGTTATCAGAACATTTCGGCTTGCCACGGTTCCAGTGTTAGTAACCTACTTGCTATTAGCTACAGTCAAAAAACATGGGCCATATCTAAACGTGGCCTTAGATAGCTGTTGTCAACCGCCACAGCTGTGTTAAATGCTGAGCTTCGCCCGGCTCTCATTTGAACACTAAGACGCTTTCCTAGGAGCCTGCCCTCTCCCCCACTGCTCATTAGCCACACGGCACACTCTGTACCTTCCATGTGGCTTAGTAGCAGCCTCCTCCATTCCACCTGCGGCCTCCGATGCTGTGAAGGCACCGGTCACCTCCTTGGCTGCCAGCCCCATCCTCGCACCACAGCCCCTGTCGCTAACGGCCAGTGACGGTTCTGCCTCTCTGTAGGTTCTTGGTGCAGAGGAGCCACGGCATCCCATTTTACTGCGAGGAGCTGCTGCGGAACCTCCACTTGAACAACATGCTTATCTTCCGCCTGTGGGAGGAGGAGGAGGAAGTAGAGGATGAGTGGGAGGGCCTTTTCAGTAAGCACCTTGCCATTAACACCTCCAACACAGCCCGCTGCGAGCCGTTTGCGGGAGAGCGGCTCACCCCCCTCCCCGGCTGTTCTCATTCTCCCCAGGAGCGCCTGCCAGCCTGGCTCTGGTTGCTGGAATTCAGGGCAGGAAGAAGGGAGCAGGGGGCAAGACGGAGACACATTGAGGGGAGTGGAAAGAGGAACACAGGCTGGGCAAAGAGGAGAGACTGGGAGGGGGGAGGCGGCAGTATGCGCTGCGCAGGGCGTTTCTAGGCAGCCGTTGAATGCTGGGTCCGAGGCTTCCATTCCTGGTTCTGGAAGGGGAGTGAGGTTGAGTGGTTAAGGCACAGGGGCGAGTTAGAACTCTTGGATGCTATTTGTCCCTGACAAATTTCTATTCCTGTTCCAAATCTTTCTGACATTGAAGCTGCTCAGACAGGGGGCAGGGAGGAAAATAGGCCTTTTTGACAAAGCTGCCATGGAACCCTTTGACGTCGAACTTTCCAAGCTGAGGCAGAGACCAAGCACGGGGAAGTTCAGGCCCAAAGCGTAATGTCGAACACAGGTATAAGTTGTGGAGAAAGAGGGCTTTAGGCAATTTGTTAGCAACCTTAAAAGGTTCCAGCTAGATCAATGTTTCTCAAAGTGGTCCACGAAACCACCCTGGGAAAGCTGCTAATTGGCTGCGCCGGTTTGTTTACTTACTCACTCCTGTTCGCTGTTTGTAGCCAAGGTGAGCCATGCTGGGCAGCCAGTGAGCATGTGTCTCCAAGTGGTTTTGCAGACCACTTTGAGAAACACTGAGCTATACACTACCTCTCTAATAGTGACTAGCTAGAGCTCCCCAGGAGAACATGCCGCTACCCCTTTAAATGAAAAAGCAACAGATGTAAAACATGAAAGAAAACCGTTTTTTTACTCAGCACACATTTCACCTGTGGACTAATTGACACAAGATATTATGGAAGCAAAATATCTTCCAATGGGAATGATACCACTTGCAGTTATAGTAGTTATATGAGAAATATAGAGGATAGACACTTGGCCCTAGTCCACTAGGACTTTATTTCGAGATAACCCCCCTCAGGTCAAATTTATAAGCAGGGTGTCCACACGACCAAGCCCGTTATTTTGAAATAACAGGCTGCTTAATTTGAAATCTGTCTTCCTGCTTTTCATCTGGACTAATGCTAATTGCGAAATTGTTATTTTGAAATATTGGTCGTGTGGACGCTCTGGTGCCGCAATTTGGAAATAACTACCCCCCAGAGTAATTCGAACTAATGGCTCCCCTGTGCTTCCCGGGGCACTAAAGTCCGAGGTAGCGCGTCCACAATAACAGAGTCTGCCTTGGACTAATTTTGAGGCTTCCCTGTAGTGTGGACATTTTGTTAAATCGGGAGTTAGTAAGTCAGATTTACTAACTTCAAAATAGTTTCCTAGTGTAGACATGGCCTTAGATAGCTGGTTAATCAGGCCTGCCGGTGGGGGTGGGGAGCAAAGGGGTCAACTGACCCGGGGCCCAGTGACAGCCGGAGCCCCAGGTCTTTGAAATCACCACCAGAGGGCGAGCTGTGTGGCTCTGGGGGATGGGACAGTTACACTGCACAGAGGGCGGTCTGCCCCTGGCCACACCCCTTCCACCTGCGGCCCCGTCCCTTCCAGGAGCATGGAGCCGGGCCCAGGGGCCCGAGGAAGCTGTTGGCTCCCCAGTGATTAATCAGTATCGAGAGAAAGTACATGCCCCAAGCAAAACCCTGCACGCCTATTCCTGTTTTTGATTATTAACATCTGATGAATATGGCTGGCTTGATAAATAGGTAATCAGAAAAATACAGTCACCAGAAACAAAACGTCCTGGGCAGGGCAAAGGTGACGTTCTGTAAAGCAGAGAGATCTGAGGATTCTATTGCTACATCATGCTTCTTTAACATAAAAACGGTTGTAAATATCAAAACCGAAATGATGCCAATTCCATGGCCATGATCTTGTAAGCCTTGTAGAGCATCCTAAATAAATAAGGGAGAAGAGAAAACTAGCCTGTTCCTTCAGGCCATCAACGAGCCATTTACTTCCTTAGGACAGGATGGCACTTCCTCCGCATTAGTGCCTCGTTTCCCTAGGGAAGAGGAGTTGCAGCTTCCTCTTACCATCTGCTGGGGATGGGAGGCTGGCCGGGATGGGGCATTGGTATGATTTAATCTGGGAACTCCTTTGGCCGGGAGCCAAGCATGAAAGCTTTGACCCTCAGAAGAGCAGGCCTCAGAACGCTGTGAGCAAGTAGAAATGCGAAGAACCCAGTTTGCATTCTGAGTGGTAGTTTATTCCCTCCCTCCCCGCCGGCTATAAAGCCTGTTCCCATGAGATCTTGCCAAGTATAGTTTTGTTCTGGTGATATTTAAAAAGCAAACAAATTAAAATGTGACTTCTTCCAATTGCTTTCCCCCCCTCCTCTTTCTCTCCGTGCAGCCAATGCCATCAAGGTCATGTCCTCCAAAAACCAATCCATTTCCGACTTGGACAAAGAGTTGTACATTTGCACCCTCCGTCAGAATGTCAAACTGCAAAACATTATGCTGCCGCCTACGCTAAAAGGTGAGGTCCTGAGCCTGATGTCTCCAGCCAGAGGAGGCCCCATATTTCTGTTGGCTAAGGGCAGCCGTTGAAGGAGGCCTGGGAGCATGCATGCTGCAGACAGCACAGGTTTGAACTCCGGAGCAGAGCGGAGGAGTCTGGGCGTTATAGAACAGAGCAGTTCTTCGTGATAGGCCGGAAATCCGTGCAGTGGTTCCTCGCTCTCAGGTGGGGAGGGAGGCCATTCCGCCTCACTACAGGTGGGCAGTAATTAGTAGGTCTAGGGGACTCTGACTTGCGAAGAAGAGGGAGGGGGCAGGGCACAAGAAGTCCACAGCCTCCTGGGTAGGGCAGAGCAAAAGCAGGCAAGTGCAGGCTGGGGGGAGGGGATTGGCCGCAGGGGATAGGGTGACCTGGGACTATCCTGCACAGGGTACCTAACAGTGGCGGGGATCCTGCCAAAACAAGCTAACCCATTCTCTGGCAGAAAAAACCCAGAGTAGAGTCTGGTTACCCTGAGCCTCTTCCTACTGCAGTCTGGGTCTAGAGCTCTGGAATCCAAAGATCCCCTGTCTCCTTGGGGTAGTTGGCCACTGGCAGTCCCCACAGCTGCTTGGAGCATTTGTCCAATGGTGGTCCTGGTGGCTCCTTGGAGTACCTGTCTGTCTCCTCCGACCACAGAGTGAAGATCCACTCAGAGCCTCGCCTGGGATCCTGTTGACATCCCAGCTGGCTGGAAGAGACATCTGCTCCTTCCAGTGCTCCAGGCCCACCTGGGGCCTGTGGCTCTCCTTTTATACTTCCTGTCCTGCTCTGGAACTTCCAGTGAGGGGGGCAAACATCCTAGCTGTCAGGATGGTTTAACACTGGAAGAAATTGCCCAGGGAAGTTGTGGAATCTCCATCACTGGAGATATTGAAGAGCAGGTTGGACAGACACCTGTCAGGGATGGTCTAGGCAGTGCTTGGTCCTGCCAGGAGGCCGGGGGACTGGACTCGATGACCTCTCAAGTTCTCTTCCAGTTCTAGTGGTCTATGGTTCTGTGCTAGTCAATTTAGCTCCACCCACCAAGGGAAGTAGAGTGATCCCTCACTTTTCAGCTTGGAAGGAGCCCACTCCCCCTCTGGACAGTCTTGGAGGTTGTATTGTAAAAGCTTCTCTCCTCCTTTTGCCCCATCTAGTCCCTGAAGACTCCGGTCTGCTCTTGGGGGTCATACCAGCCTCCAGTCTAGTAGTCAGGACAGTAGCATGGGAGCCTCAAGCAGTGGAGTCCTGACGCTGGTCTAGGAAGCCACTTTCTGACTTGTTAAAATGACAGATGATTAAGCATGAATATAAACCTGTGTTTCTTAAATTTTTTAAGATGGAGGAACACCAAACAAAAGGTTTTTTTAAGAGGAACACCAAGGACTTTTTTTTTGTGCTCAACAAAAAGAGGCTGGGGAAAAGTTATTGAGCAAAAAAAAAAAAAAAATCAGGGGAAAGTTATTCAGGGGGGGAAAAATCGCCTGTCCCTTTAAGGGCAGCCATTTTGAACTCTGTTGTTCTCCGCGGCACACCTCCGACTGCCTCACCGCACACCGGTGTGCCACGGAGCACAGTTTAAGAAACACTGCTATAAACCCAACCCTCCTAATCCAGTCTACGGTCAAATCCAGTTATCGAGCAGTCGTGGTGGATCCTGGATCAACTCCTGGGCAAAACAAATCCAGTGAGTGAATTCCCCATGACTGCCCATTATCTGTAGTGGCTGGTGAAGGCAGGTTCCAGAAGAGACCACTGAGGAGTTGGCTTCCTCAGGTCAGTTCATCTGCAGGGTAAAAAGGACAGGATCCAGACAGAGCATCCATGCTCCCAATGGGAAAGCTAACCAGTGCAATCTTATTGTCTCGGTCTCCAAGGAGCACCCATTGGTGATTTACCAGATGACTTGGTTTGGCAGGCATTGCCCTGGCTGAGTTGGACAACATGAGTCCGTCGGAGCAGATGGTAGTGAAGTGCGCAGCTGTCATCGGACTGACTTTCACGACTGATCTGCTGTTCCATATCCTTCCCGAATGGACCAAGCGGAAGATGAACCAGACGCTCGCAGCCCTGGTGGAGTCCCACGTCTTCAGGTGTTTTAATAAAAGAAAGGAATCCCAGAGTTCGCAAGCACAGGACATCTCCTCCTCGGAGTTATTTGTGTATCCCGGGACTGTGAGATCAACTGGGCATGAGTCAGGTAGGGTGGAGCTGAGTGCGCAGACACCCCCCGCTCCATGTCTGTGTTCCGGGCGCTGTTTCCAGAGTGCTCTGTGACTCCTGGTGAGCCGGCATAAAGTGCCAGGGCTGCCTCTGGTAGCCATGGACTGAACAGATCAGTCGGGTTTTTTGCCTGTAGTTTTCTGTAATTGCTTGCCCCTGAAATGGCTCCACTTCGACTGCTGCAGCCTACCCAGCGGAATCTCGCGTCGCTCTTTGAAATAAACCCCCAAGAGGCATGTTTCAGGGTGCCCATTGATGCGTTTTTCTTTTTTAAATTCTATACAAAAAAGCCCTTGGTGGTTGAAGCATTGGGAGCGCTGTTGTAAGGTCACCTGCTGGGGTGACTCTAGAGAGAGGCAGTTGAGCCCAGGGGATAGAGAACTGACCTGGAAACGTAAACTCGACTTCTGCCTCCGCCATTAACCTGCTGTGTGGCCTTGGGCAAGTCATTTCACCTCTCTGTGGTTCACTTTCTCACCCTCTCCCCCCCCCCCCCCCCCCCGTGCTGCTCTAGAGCCTGTCTTTATTTTGAATTCAAAGGAACCCTGAGTTCCGTAGAGATCTCTGTTGAGTTACTTTAGTACAAATGATAATTAGCACAACGTGGCAGCTTATACACTAAAGCACTAAATTAACCACTATTTATAGTCATTCCAAAAACCCTGTCGGGATGAATAGAGGATAAATAGGTGATAAAGCCGGCTGCTGTGGGCTCATATGTCTTACCCAAAGTTTTTATTTTGTTCTGTTCTCTTGGGTGCTTCACCTCAATTGCACCAAACCCTTCCTATGGTGTCTAAGGGCTTGTCTACACACAGGCTGGTACCCGGCACTGATTCATGTCTTCTGTTGTTTTGGTCAAGTCCGGCACCAACAATAGGCACAGGAAGTTATTTTGCTGCCCACTGGGGTACGTGTAACCAAGCAATGAGAATCCATATCCACCCACTCGCTGTGGCACTCTGCCGCACCCCCACCCTCGTTGGTGGCTGGCCAAATCTGGAATTTGAGGAGTCTGCTACACCCATGGCTAAGGGGTGCATTGTTCACTCAAGCAGTAACATCTCCTGTTGCCCAAAAACTTGTCACCTGGTTGCACCCCCTCCCAGACTCATGTTACAGGAAGTCTGGACCTTTCTGTATGTGCTGGGGCTGGGCCAGCCTCCCGCAATGACAGTCACGCCCAGAATTCTCATCCTCAGCTAGGTCTCGGTGCGGTGCCCAGGGAAACTGAGGCACACACACAGGGTTACCACAGGGCAGCAGAAATCACCTGCAATGTAACAGAGTGAATCCAGTCCCTGCGTGGCCACAGCAATGGTTGCGGAAGAAGCGGTGCCTTGTGTGCTAAATCCACGTTCTCTTTCAGATATCCGCTCGTCCGTGTACAACCGCATCAAGCTGGAGCAGCTGGTGATGCAGTGCGGGGCCATGGCGTTCTGCACGCCGCTGCTGCAGGAGGCGGCCTACGAGGTCTGGCTGAAGAGCCAGAAGAAAGCCTTGCATCTCAAGTGCATTAGCTACCTCGAAGGGCAGGCCCACAAGTGCCGGCGCTGCGGGGAAGGGGACTTCATCGCCTTCCACCGCCACACCGTGGAGACGCTGCTGGAGAGCATCGAGTCGCAGGAAACCATTTCGGAGCTGCACACGGAATACCCGGTCAGCGAAGCAGCCTCCATGATCATCCGTGAAACCCTGAGGAAGCTCCACGCACCCTCCTTTGAAGGTAAATGGACGCGCGCGTTTCCCCAGCGCCCCCCCAACTGGGCTCCCCAAGGGACTGTGGAAGGCAGAATCTTACAATAAGGACACCTTCTGCTCTCATTATGCTTAGGTGCACCAGACACCTTTGCTGAGCCCCTTCTCCTCCACTGGCCCTGTTCGCGCCGCAACCCCTCCCACCCCAGGGGAAATCCAGAGGGGCATCCTGCCCCCCTGTCCACGCTCCTCCAGTCTCCTTATGTTTCCCTTTCCATGCCCCCTCATGTTTCTGCTCAGCCTGTGGGCCCAGGGGCAGGAGCTGACAGGCAGGAGCACTTTCTGGGCTGTGGTGGGGGCAGCGTGGGGCGACAGAGGTGTGGGGCAGAAGGACTTGGGGCAGGGAAGGAGGTGGCCAGGGCCCTGGCGATGAGCAGTTGGTGAGGTCGAGCGGGCCTGAGGACAGAACTTAGGCCAGCTGTGGGGGCGCTGAGGCGGGGGCAGCGAAGGAGCTGGGGTTGCAAGGAAGTGATCCAGGGAACTAGAGTGAGGTGAGAGGGGCAGAAGCACATGGCTGCCGTTTACAGGGTCTCTGGGTTGGGACATGGAGTCAGGGCCATCACTAGGGGGGTGTAGGACTTGGAGCAATCCTACCAGTGCTCCAGGTGTGGGGCCCAGACTAACCTGTGGCTGCAGGCTCTGCCCCTCCTCCGCTGTTCTGCCCTGCCCCTGGCCTGCCCCCTCGCCCTCCTCGCAATGCAAGCTGGGGGATTAGTGGGGGGCCTGGTGTGGACTGCACTCTCCCCGACAGCCTGCCCCACTCCACTGCCCGTCTCAGCCCGACGTGCTCTGCTTCTCCGCGGTGGCAGGAAGTGGAGCGCCCCGGGGCCAGTGTGCTCTGCTGGGACGGGAGGGTGGAGCAGGGTAAAGCGGAGCAGGTTGCCAGGTCGCTCTGGCTCCCACTGCCAGGGTGTGTGGGGGTGACCCCTGCTGCCGCCTCGCTCTAGCCCCCCAGGTAATCCTCCAGGCCACCCTGGGCCCCGTCCATAGAACTGTTGAGGCCTCTGCCGCAGGGCCCGTCAAAGCGCAGGGCCTGGACCCTCCCACCTGCCACCGAGGAAGCGGCTGCACCGTGGACTTCGGCCCCCTCAGAAGGGGGGAGAGCCGAATGTGACACAGTTGGAGGGCCGTGACCTGCAGAGGGCGCTGTGCTCTTTGGGGCCACACACGTCCTGAGGCAGATGTGGCAGCCACCACACGAGGGCGCACTGGCAAACTGAGCTAGTTCCCAGGACGACCAGCAGGGGGTCAGGGCGGCGAGTCGAACTTTATCACAGACCGTCTTTGTGTTCTCTGTCGGTCCGGCGCCTGGTGCAACGGCCCCCTGGCTTCCGCTGGCCCTGGCCACGCACATAGCGAGGCGGAGTGGTTCTAAAGCTGTTCATAAACATCGGTCTCTCTCTCCAAGGGACAAAGAGGAAAGTGGCGACTGCTAAGGCTGTCCTAGCCAGCACAAGCTCCCCTGAAATTGTCCAGAGGATAAGTGAAGGTAAAACAGCCCATTGCATGCAGAACTTACCGTGAGCGGGAGGGGGCCAGGCAAGACCACCAGCTAAACTCCAGAGAGCGGCAGGGGGGGAAGCGGGGGGGGAAGCGGCAGGAGAGGAAGCGGGAGGGAATGGGAAGTGGCTGCTGAGTGAAAGAGAGTGAGTGAAATAAGAGGGAGAAAGGATGAGAGAGAAAACACAACCTCCCCCGCCACCAAAGAGGGAGGTTTGGAGAGTGGGGAGGGTCTGGCGAGTGGCGGGGGAGTGTAGTACTAATAGCACAGCCTCACCGAGGCTGTGTCTAGACTGCACTCTTATGTGGGAAAAAGAGGAGCTATTTGCGCCATACAAATGATGTATCTTTTTTTGATTGAATTTCAAAAGAGGCTTTTTCGAAACTTGGCGCGTCTACGTGGCTGTACACGTAGAGCGAGGTTTACAGGCATGGCACAAAGCCCCTCTGTTCCTTCAGAAAAGGGTTCGAAAAAGCGGACTCGTTCCTTGGCTGCGTCGTTGCTTTTTCGGGATACTTCTGGTAACCCGAGAAAGCAGCGCAATCTAGACGTAGCCCTAGTGGGCCACCCTCCTGCCTGGCAATCACCTGGCACCAGGGCCTTTTCTTTGGCCCCATCAGACAAAGTGGTTTTTACCCCCAAAAGCTTATTTCCAGATAAATCTGCTAGTCTTTAAGTTGCCGCAGGACTCCTCTTTGCGTTTGCCAAGGACTTCCTACAGTATTTATGCTACACCTTTCACCGACATGGCGTTTAAGAGTTTGTACGTGGCAGGATTACTCCCCCACCAACGAAATGCAGCCACCTCTGGGGCGGAATACTACACCTGCTCTGTATCAGCAGCGTAACCCAACAGGTGTTTGGAGGAGGAGCCGGGAAGAATAATTATTTCCAAGGACATCCGGAAGGGGGCTTGTGGAGCCAAACGTACATTGCTGCAATTAGGCCAGGACGATCAGGGTTGTGATGTCTAACTTTAAAGAAAAACGCTGTGGAAATTGTCACAAGCATAATTGGTCAGCACCTGAGATTAGCGTGTCATCCCCTCGACAGTCGTACCGTGCTGCTGAGGGTCCCTTTGCAGAGAGAAATGACTGGGCTATTTAGGTTGTCAGGTACAAAAGAACAGAAAAGAAAATGGCTGATGTCCAATGACAAATCTATTGGGACAGAAGCCACTTTCCTGGAAGCAGCCCTGTCGTTCTCAGCAGGGTTGCACTGATGGACTGCTGGGGGAGTTGCGAGAAAAGCTCATCACGTTCACTTTCCAATGTGCAAAGGCAAGTGATGGCTCAAAGGCACTTTTCTTTTGTTCTTTTTCCTGTTAAACAGGTCCACAAATGGCTCAGCTCATTGCACCCAAAACACCATCCTCTGCAATTTTGACGACACCCAGTGCTGGTAAAGTTTCTTCTCTCTGCAGGCAGCATGTACCAGAACCTATTGTCTTGAACAAAGGATGTGTGTGGCAGGCATCCGATTCCTTAGATCCCCGTTTTCCCTTGTTTTCTTAATTTCAGAGACCAATGCTTCTTCTTTCTCCAAGGACTTCTTAGAACCACAAGACATTAAGAAAGGTAAAGGCCTGCGTTTATTCCTGGAATGTAAGAGCTCAGCCACAGGCTGAGCCAACACAGCAGTGAGAAATTAAAGACCAAATCCAAGCTTGACTCTAACAGCTTCTAACTGAAAGAGTGCGGTGCGTGTCTCACTCCAGTCATAGCTCTATCGGCTATAGGACTGCCACTGGTTTCAAAGGGGGCTGCATCTTTGTAACGGAGAGCCAAATGTCACCCCTCAGCATCAGCTAGCAGCATCAGCTAGTAGCCTTACAAATCCAGGGTTGAAAAATACTGTTAAAAAGAAAGCAACAAACTGAAGTGGGTGAATAGAAGGAACTGAATGTCTCCCCCTTCCCTCTGTCTCTAGCTACAAACCTTACAGTGGAACATCTGTACTGCTGCAGCTGCACTGATCTAAGGTCTTGGGTAGCCGCTCTATGCTGGCAGGAGAGAGCTCTCCTGTTGGCATAATTAAACCACCCCAACGAGCAGCAGTAACTGTGTCGACAGGAGATGATCTCCCACCGACTTCATGCTTTCCATACCGGTGCTTTTGTTGGTGAAACGTACGGTGGGGGATTTTTTCATGCCCCCAACTGACAGAAGTTTTGCTGATAAAAGCGCTAGCATAGCCAAACCCTAAAAAGCTGCACTGAAAAGAATCTGGAAGAGTTTGACGAAGTCCTTTAGGAGCTAGCAGGTTTGGGCAAAATCCCCACCTGGATTAGCTCATCTATTGGCGTAAATGGGGGTCGCTGTGCCGACATCAGTGGAGCTAGGTTGATTGGCGCCAGCAAAGGACCTGGCCCAGAAGTAGTGCATTTTTCTCCCCTGGAAGCTGTTGGCATTTTGAGGATATCTGGGCGGGTGGGTGGGGTTCTTCCCATTAACTGCGGCCTATGGAGTGGCCTGATCTGGCCCATGCTAAGTTGCAGTGAAGACTTTCCTGGTGTCATGGCAACACTGTAAATAGCTGCCCCGCAGCACCTTTGAATTTGATCTCGTAATCTTAGTGCTAGAGAAGGGTAAAAGGCGGCTCCTGTTCCAGGACATGTGATGACGCACTGAACTGGTGGTTGGTTTTCTTTCCAGAGACCCTAAAGGCACTAAAGAAACACAAGATGTTGCCAGAGGACATTAAGTACGGGAGCAACCTCTTCCTTCACCAGACCGTTTTACAAAGCAATAGATTCCTAGGGGCTCCAGAGGTTGTGAGTGGCATAGATGGGTCTGGCTGCTGTCTGGCGGGGGAGGGGGTTTTCCGGGGGGGGGGGGGGAGCAGCCCTTTGGGAATTTCACTTAGCACCCCATGTATCTGTGGCACAGTGGGACCAGAGCAGCAGCCCCTGATTTCTACAGCAGCATCCATCTACCCTCGCGGGGAAGTGCCCACGCACACTTCTTCCCTCACCCCATCGCTCACAGCTGAACGTTCTTGCAGTAGAATCTGTCCATGAACGTGGGATTTTTATGACACCCTCTGGGTGGTCTCACTCCACACCCCAGACCTTGTTGTCTGCCCAGCCTGGCCCACAGCTCCCTTCCCCCGTGGCTGCCAGGGAAGCGGGAAGCTGGGCCAGACTGGGGCAGAAGCTGAGGTCTGGGGTGTGGCTCAGTTTCTCAGACCTTGGCTGTTGTGCTCCGCTCATCCGCCTGTGCTGACGCTAGTTCCGCTGGCTTGGTGGTAGAGCGCTCCAGCTCTTCAGAGGAGGCCTTGTCACCAGTGCACTGTCTGCAGGGAAAGCCAAGGGTCCTCTGAAGCACCTCGCAGCACGGCTTTCCTGAGGACTCACCGAAGGCAGATCTACTGGACACTTACCTAAAAAAGAGCTACCGGTTTTCTGGGAGAAATCCATGCTAAAAAGAGCTGCTTTCTGCATCCTCTATAAACAGGCAGGCTGCTCATGTACAGGTACCACTGGTGCCAAAGATCTCTGCTCCGACTCAGGAAAGACAGATAGACATGAAAGCCCCATATTGTCCAGGCAAGCTACGGTTTCCAGGCCAGCTGCAGATGAGCCAGGGGTGTGAGATTCAGCTCAAGCAAGTGTTTAGGTCACAGTGAGGTAGTGGGGATGGCTCCCACCGTCCTCTTGCAGCGCTGCTGTTCAGTCAGGTGCATTTTAGCAGCGTGTGTGCTCGGATTTCTCTCAGGTGGGGTGAGTGACAGGAAGCGCGCCAGGCTGGCCTGGGGCTGTTCTGTGGAGGAAGGTTCCATGGAATTCCCTTCTGGAGTGAGGCAGAGAGAGGGCAGCATCCGAGCCACAAGCGCAGAGTCCCAGGGCTGGCCAACACCACAGGCTTGTGCCAAGTGGGGAGGGCTGGGTTCCCCACTGTAATGATGTTGGGATCTCAGTTTTCATTTATAAGGAGTTTGTTTCCAGCCCTGCCCCTCCACCCCCAAAGGCCATGAGACTCCAATGGGTGGGCTGTGCCAAGAGCCCCACATGGCTTTAATCTTGCCCTGCCTAGCAGAACACCATCATCTTCCCCTGAACAGTGCGCGAGAAGGCACAAGAGGGAGGGGGTCAGAGAGCACCATCCCCTAGCGCAGGAGAACAACATAAAACAGCATCGGGGGATTGGAACGCTGGATTCTCCCCCGCGTGCCCACCAGACGAGCCTTGTGACCCGGGAATCCTGCCCTTTCTCTGCCTGCCGTCTTGTCTCTGGCCAGAGCTGAAGAGATGGAGAAGGAGTTTCTGGAGGGGCTGGACGAGATCATCCAGCAGTCTGACAAGGGCCGGGAGAAGATCCGGCACTTGGGATCCTGTGAATGTGAAGAGATCGTGGAGTCCGTCTTTGTGCCCCTGGCCCGGCACTGCATGGCGAGGGGAGACTACGCCAGAGCCTTGTATTTCTTGTTGGAGTGTGCGGCGGCTTATTTACATCTGTCGAACAACTACATGGTGAGCTGCTTTGCCCCCTTGGCCCTGACATCCGTGTCAGTTCAGGCACGCCTCCATGGTCTCCCTCTGACTTTGCCCCATTTTAGCAGGCTGTCCCGATTTCCCCGAGGAGCCAGCATCCTTTGGTTCTTTCCCAATGGCCGTGTTAGGCCTACGTCTTCTTTGTCTTCCCTTCCTATTTTGCCAGAGAAGCTGAGCTGAGGAGCAGAATTTTAGTGTCACAGATGTAGCACATGGGAGTTTACAAGCAAAATTCTGGGCTACGTTTAAGTGCCCCTTTTGACCCGCGTAGTCAGTCAAAAGTTGGGATTCTCTGAGTTGTTTCTGTTAGAAGGAGAAACTGAGTCAGGTCTTGCAGTGATGCAATCCTCTTTATTTACAACATTCTAGTTCCCCGAACACTCTAGGAATCCAATAGCTGGAGACAGTTAATTGCACATAGCTCCACTCCCCTTTCCAGACAGCTCTGCCCACACACGCTCTCACCTTTCTCTCTGGGTAACAAGTTCTTTCGCAGTCGTCCTTGGCTTTCTTCTGCCCTCTCTCCTTCCCGTGCGCCAGCGGGGGGGCCGGGTAGGAGACACGGAGCTGCCTCCGCCTGTACAGATGGGATTCCCCTGGCCATCTCCCGGAGCAGGCTGGGGAATCCAGCCCTCTCTCTTCAGCAGGTGGCGGGGTTGGAGAGGCGTGCGTTGCCGGGGGTGTCCCATTCATCTCTGCACTTTGCTTTGTTTAAGGCTTTTAGCAATTTGAATATAGCAGAGAATCTGATCAAATCGGTGGATTTCAAAGCGACTGTAATTAACCCGTTTGAGGAAGCCACCTTCTGCAGCCTGAAGGGTGAGGTAAAGAGACAGCAAGGCCCTGAGGAATCTCTTTGGGTATCTAGTCGGGATCATGCATGGAAGATGATTGCAGGTTTCCTGCGTCTCCCTCCTGTGTCCGTACAACCTCACCCAGAACTGAAAGTCCAGACTGCTGGACAGGCTCACATGCCCCCTTGGCTTAGGTAGCACCGCTGTGCTGCCTCTCCCAGCTCAATTCATTAAAGGGTGGAGGTCACAACAGTTTCAACGAGATTTAACCAACCCACTTCCTACCTCCGCCTTGGCTCCAGCATCGATGTCATGCTAGAAAATGGCATCAGAACGCGCCGTTGACTGCTAATTTTACAAACCGTCTTTGTCTCCCTCTCCCTTCCTCTCTGCAGGTCTGTTATAACATGGGCCAAATGAATTTGGCCAAGAAATTTAAAACGCGCCGTTGATTGCTAATTTTAGAAACCGTCTTTGTCTCCCTTTCCCTTCCTCTCTGCAGGTCTGTTATAAGAACGCGCCGTTGACTGCTAATTTTACAAACCGTCTTTGTCTCCCTCTCCCTTCCTCTCTGCAGGTCTGTTATAACATGGGCCAAATGAATTTGGCCAAGAAATTTATCAGGAGGGCTTTGGTTTTACTGAAAAGAAGATTCCCATATATCTTGATTGGAGTCGTCTTTAAGACTGTGCTGGAGGCGTCAAAGCATGCGTCTCACCAGAAGAAGCCGTTCTTGTTTACTCGCTCTCGAGGGTAGGAAGTAGAACCGGAGTAACACCTAGCTGGGTGGATTTCATCTTAGTCCCTGGTTGGCAGTTAGATCTTGATCCGGCAGACACTTAAGCACATGCTTAACTTGAAGGGTGTAACGCTCATGCTTCAAATTAAGCATGTGAAGGGTGGGGGCTTTAAAGCCTGGTGTTCACATACTGAGGCTACATCTAGACGGCAGCGCTTTTCTGCAATACAGGAGGTATCCCAGAAAAGCAATGACGCGGCCCAGGAACGCGTTCGCTTTTCCGAAAAAATTTTCAGAAAAGCAGATGTGTTCTTTCGCCATCCCTGTAAACCTCGTTCTACGAGAGAGAAAGGAGGGCTTGAAAGACGAGGTTTTTCCCGAAATTTGGCACCGTGTAGATGCGCCAAATTTCAAAAAAGCCTCTTTTGAAAGAAAAGTGGAAAAATATACGCAAATTGCGGTTCACAACTTGCATATCTTTTTCCGACTTTTCTTTGTAGTCTAGACATAGCCTTAGTGAAGGAGGAATTACAGGTACTTGCATTCCCAAGAGAAGAGAACTTTAAAGCAAGGCTTTTTCATACGGTTGATGGATTTCCATTCCAAATGTCTAATGAGTGTGCAGTCCTCCCACACTCTCCTCCGTCTCCCCCCGAGACAGCTTGGGCAGGGCCTCCGGCCAGGGTCTCCTCCCTCAGTCACCCGCCTCCCTCTTGCTTTCCCCACCTCTTGCCCCAGACCCCTCATTCCCTCCACCCCAAACAGCCTCCCACCCTGTCTCTTTCCTCTCCTCCAGCCCTCCCGGCGTCTCTTCCTTTCGTCGCAGGCCAGGTCCCCCTGGGAGCCCACGACTCCAGCGCCTGGGACTTAAGAAAAAAACCAAATGTCATGGGAGTTGACAGCCTGACTTTCCCCAGGTCCCCCTCACAGCTGCCCCCTCTGGTCCTGCGCCCCCCGCCCTCTGCCGGCTTTCGGGATGGTGGGGGAGAAGCGGCTGCTCCAGCCAGAGCTGTTCCCTCAGGCTCTGGCCATGCCCCTTCTGTCCCCCTCCTCAGACAGAGCTGGCAGGGGGCTACAATTGCTTATCCCACCTGGCTGGAACCTAACAGCTGACCTGTGGAGGCCAGGGAAGGGGGGCGAGTTCTCAGCATTGCTGCAGAACGCACCCTCTTGTGCTGCCCCTCCCACAGCCAGACAAAGTGGGGGGAGCAGATATCTCCTCTCCTACCCCATCCCCACCCTACAGTACCACCCTCCACCCACTGAGCCTCCCCCGACTGGTACCCCGTCATCCTCCTGCTACCTCCTGCTGCCCCGAACCTTCCCTGGCTCTGCTCCTCGGAGGAGGGGGAAATGTGCTGCTCAGGATTCCCCCCCCCCCATTTAATTAGTAGTGCCTGAAGCTGCCTCTTGCGTGACAGGGAGAAGAAATTAGCTTTCCTGTACCAGCAGAGCCACTGCCTCTCCTTACTGTGGCAACTCTTCAGCCTGGACACGGCCACCAACAGCAAGAAGTTCTGTCGCCTGGCGGCGCTCATGAAGGTGAACTCGGCGGAGGAATCGGGGGACGAGAGCCAGGTGGGTCCAGGCAACCCTCTCTCCAGCCCCAAAGAGGAGGGAGGAACCGGCAGCACTGGAAGGAACTGTGGTGGCAGAACGTCTCCTACCCCACGGGGTTATTGATGAGGTGGTGAAGGCGAGGACTTTCACAGGGTTCACAAAAGAGCTAGATAGATTCATGGAGGTCCCTCGCCTCTGTTTGTCTGGAAATGGGTGACAGGGGAGGGATCACGTGAGGATTCCCTGTTCTGTTCACTCCCTCTGGTACAGTTGGTGTTGGCTGCTGTCGGCAGACAGGCTATTGGGTAGCCTGAAAGTAGGAATAAGAGATCCTCCGGAAAAGGGCTTATTTTCTGGAGAATCACGTCTAGACTGGCGCTTTTCTCCGGCTTATTCCCAAGCTGGAAAAAAGCGTCGGCCATGTAAATGCAAATGCCGCGGGGGATATTTAAATCCCCCGCGGATTTTGCTATTCCAAAGTGTCTCATTAGCATCCCTTTACCGGAAAGGGATGCCAATGTAGACACAGCCTGGGAGTGAGGAGCCCTTTAGGCACAAGGTTATACAAGGAGCTGATTCTGAGTTGAATCCCAGAAGCTGGTATATACACTGTTCTCTTGGGGAAAGCAGACCTGGTGTTTTTGTGAGTGTCTAGACAATATAAAGGGCTGCATACTACAAGAGAATGCTTCAAAGGAGCTCAAGGATGGGGGAGGGGGTACACGTATTGCTAAGCTGCAGGGGAAATAAAGGCTGGTATTGCCCAAAGAGCACTTGGGTGGATCACAGGTTGGTGGTGTCAGGAAATTGATGCCAGTTAAGCATCAGTCTCCCTCACAGTGGAGGCAGGATGCTAACAAGGTGACCCACAGACCTGGCTGCCCCAAGAACAAATCACATGAACCTAGAGAAAAGGTCACTGAGTGAAATCCAACCCCATCCAGAAAGGTAGCATAATGCCTATAGACCACATAAGCACTCAAAATAAGGTTTAAGAAGGACTTAAATACGGCCTAGCCCTTGTGCCGGTCTCTTGCAGGAAATAATTGTTGGGTTGTCTATGATGGAATTGTATGGACTATAGCTGTGCTGTCTTTAACCCTACATCAGAGAACAATACACTAGAGTTGCAACTATGATAACCCATTACTTAAGGGAAAGGAATGCTTTCTACTGATTTTTAGCCTGATGCGCACCTGTATCTCACACCCAATGACCAAGGTTGTACTCTTGACTCTGCCATTGACCTGTTAAGTCACTTAATTTATCTATGCTCACCTTCCCATGGGAAGGATGCAGGTAATATGGCTTCTTAACTTCATTAGGGCATTGCAAGGGGTGGATGTAGAACCCCGCTCACAAAACATATTCAGGCTATGTCTAAACTACAATGATCTATCGGAAAAAGGTACGTAAAATGCGTTCCACAATTTACATACCTTTTTCTGATCTTTTTTTTTTTTGGAAGACACACTTTCCCAAAATTTGGCCAGTCTACACTGGGCCAAATTTTGGAAAAGCTTCCTCTTTAGGAAGAGCAACAGATGTGTTGTGAGCAAGACACGAGAAGTCATTCTTCCGCTCTACTCTGCGCTGGTTAGGCCTCAGTTGGAGTATTGTGTCCAGTTCTGGGCACCGCATTTCAAGAAAGATGTGGAGAAATTGGAGAGGGTCCAGAGAAGAGCAACGAGAATGATGAAAGGTCTAGAGAACATGACCTATGAGGGAAGGCTGAAAGAATTGGGTTTGTTTAGCTTAGAAAAGAGAAGATTGAGGGGGGACATGATCGCCGTTTTCGGGTATTTAAAAGGGTGTCACAAAGAGGAGGGAGAAAACTTGTTCATCTTGGTCTCTGAGGATAGGACAAGGAGCAATGGGCTTAAACTGTAGCAAGGGAGGTTTAGGTTGGACATTAGGAAAAAGTTCCTGTCAGGGTGGTGAAACACTGGAATAAATTGCCCAGGGAGGTTGTGGAATCTCCATCTCTGGAGATATTTAAGAGGAGGTTAGATAAATGTCTATCAGGGATGGTCTAGACAGTACTTGGGTCCTGCCGTGAGGGCAGGGGACTGGACTCGATGACGTCTCGAGATCCCTTCCAGTCCTAGTGTTCTATGATTCTATGATTACCTGGTTTGGTTCTGTCGTTATAACCACATGCCCTGCCCACTGAAGTCCCTGGAATTTGACAAGTAAACGTTGTCAATGGCAAGGAAAATATGTAAAAGATCACAGTGTGGGGGTAGTTTCTTGCTTCCCAAGTTCTCCATGGCAGTGTGATTTACCCAGGGCCCGACTTATGGTGCCCTGCCTGGCTGCCCAAGGAGGAGGTGGAGGTTTAATACTGAGCAGTCCCTCGGAGCGCTTACTGTGAATTACCATCAGTTAGAACAATATGCCTTGTAGAGAAGGAGGTGGAAGGCACATTATGAGCGTGACCAAGGACCTCCGTGGTCTGTAGAGCCTGGGAGAGGGGGAGTGAAGAAGTCTGGACTAAGTCTGGCTTTGGCTGGGACTCAACGCCCGGCCCTGTGTAAGTGGGCCCACCTTAGCATGGCCCTGCTCGGATCTCACAGCCGCTGGCTCCCCGTGCCGGGACATGGGAGATCTATCCCTGTCCTGCCTCTTCTTTTTCTGAGGCACGGGTGGCTGGGATTGGTGCCTGCACACCAGTCCCGTGCCATGGTCATGCGGTGCTGAGATGTCTTGTCCTTGCTCGGCACCGGGGCACTCCACAGCAGCAATGAAGTGCTCGGCGCTGGGTCCGAAGACCCCTGTTCTGATTGGGATTGCAGTGCCGCTTCCCTGGGAATGACCTTCAGCCGCTGAGCTCCGTTTCTTAAAGACCTAGGTCTGAGGGTCTTACAAACTGAGCCGCGATCCCTTTGATGGCTCTCGTCCAGACACTTTAAACATAACGTGTGTGGATCGCTCTTAGGCATGTGTCTGCCACGGGCCGCACGGGCTTTGAAGCCCAGTGACCTAGATGTGCCCAGTGTCAGGGACTAGAGGGAGAGAAGAACGACCCTCCCAAGAGAGAAACTAACGATTGACAAACTACTCCAGTAAAACCATCTACAACTATCTACAGCTACTACCTATTAGCTATGCACTCTGAAGACACTAGTGGCTAATGGCTAGCACACTTGCAAAGACAAGCACCAAGATTAAGAAGGAACTGGTGAAGGGGCGGGTTGGTGGGGCTCTGTATCGGGCACCCTGAAGGCGCCACTCCAGGGGGCATCCAGGCTGACCCTATGGCTAGCTGCTAGGGGAAAAATCTTCTGGCTACGCTGCACGAGTGTGTGTGTACACACCTGAGTGGGATGGACAGGAACACGTCTCGAAGAACAAGAGTTACGAGATGGTACATGACTGTTTTTCCTCCTGTCCCCAGCAGACTGGAAGAATGGTCTATTTCTTATTAGACATCCATCTACAACAGCTCTCTCTGGGCCACAATGCCTCCCTCAACACACCTGTTCCCACAACTGTTCCTTCTGCTGGGGCAGGTTTGTTTGCTGCGATAGGTGGGCCACCTGAATTCTATAAAGACTGCCCCTGGTGCTTTTTATGGTCAATACCAGCTGGAAAGGAAACCAGCTATCCCCAGGGGACCTTGCAGACACTTATATGCACACAGGGATACTTTGCACACCTGGGAAAGGCCACAAGGGAATGTCTCTATTCACTTGGGGTCTTGTCAGGCATCTTTGAGGCCCTCCTCCAGAAGTTGTTTCGCCGAAGATCCATGGAGAGAAAAATAGGATAGGTATATGAGTGGAATGACGGACAGAGGAGGAGACGTGGAAAGAGGAAAGGAAATGAAGGGGTAGAGGAGGAACACCCCAGGATAAAATGTGTTGTGCAGTAATGCTCCATGATATTTAGGTACCAAGACTGTGTGCGTGTGCTGAGCTGGCTGGAGGAGTTGGCCGTCGTGGAGGACAGAATCATCGGGATGGCTTGTTTCTTCTCTTACTGCTTAGAACTCTTGCTGTATGCTGGTGAGTACGGGGTGGAGAGGACAGCGGACAGTGGCATGCTTTGCAAAGATGCTCCTGGACAGGGACGGTCGCCGCGGCCACGCGGCCAAAAGTGGTGGTGCCGTTCCGGCATCTCGGTGGTGGTGACACTGATGTTGGTGCGTTTTTAGCGATGAGAGATGAAAGGGTTAACGGAAAAGGGGTTGTGGCTCCCAAGTGGGCGTGTTGATATTTGTGTGACCGTTGAAGCTGCTGGGATATTCTCATACAAATCTGGAACCTTATGCTTGGAGGCGGGAAGCTGTGATGTTGGCTTACAAACCACTCAAGGCTAACTGTGGGTTCTCAGACTTCACTCAGCTGGCATGGAGACATTCCGGATCTCTACCCCAATCTCCTTGGAGCCCCCGGCACTCCCCACCTCTCCTGAAGTCTTGGGCTCACTGAAAACCTTGGCAGTACAAATACTGACTTGGCAAAAGCCCTCCCGGCAATGATGCAGTTGCACCAGCAAAAAAATCCTTTGGATGGGACAACTTATACCCGCCATGGTGAAGGGCATACGATGTAGTGGCAATTGTCCCTTTTCCAGTATGGCCGCATTTGGTCCTGCTTTGAGCAGGGGGTTGGACTAGATTTTGGTTGTCATTATTTGGCTTTTTCTCCTTCCCCAAAATTGGAAGAGTTTGAAACTCTCTTTCTCCTCGGTAGGTTAAAAAGGTCCTCTTTCAAAAGCACCTCTGAGAGACAGGGTATGTCTACACTACAGAGGTTTTTTTTGGAAAAACATCTTTCAGCCCTGCTCTCCTATGAGCTCTGTGATAGGGCTTGGGCCACAACTATCGCACTGAAAAAAATCACCTTAAGCCTAGTGTCTGCACTTGGACCCTCTTTCAAGAGAGGGATGCAAATGAAGACATTCGAAATTGCAAATGAAGCCGGGATTTAAATAACCCGCGCTTCATTTGCATATTCGCGTTATGGCGCTATTTCGAAATAACAGACACTGTTAAGACACGGTTATTTCAATAGAAAACCCTTCTCTCGAAGTAACTGGTAAACCTCATTGTATGAGGAGTAAGGGTTATTTCGAGAGAAGGGTTTTCTATTGAAATAACCGTGTCTTAACAGTGTCTGTTATTTCGAAATAGCGCCATAACGCGAATATGCAAGTGACTTAGCGAGGCTGGTTAAACACAGTATCATAGACCTGGCCTGAGGTCTCCAGTTCTAGAGCTCCCTTTGTGTAGACTTCAGAAAGCCCATAAAACGGGACTGTGTGAGAACAGGGGGTTTGGCTGGGAGATCCGATCACTTCACGCCGCCTAACAGTGAGTTTCCCCTAGTCTGCAAGAGAGGAGAACGCCCTTGTGAGCCTCTGGTGGTGGGAAACCTCTTTCTTTGACAAGTCCTGCTTCTCTATTGATCTGGCTATACTCTGGGCTCTGCCTCTGCATGTTACACCAAGCTAGCCTGAGTGGGGCTGTCTGTCCCTCGGAGTAGCTGTTAAACGAGTTTAATAACCGATTGTCGGTGAGGTTACTCTCACAAAAATGATCCAAGGCAGTGATCTGCTGAAGCCAGTTCTCTCTGGGCTTTTGGTTGTCATTATTTGGCTTTTTCTCCTTCCCCAAAATTGGAAGAGTTTGAAACTCTCTTTCTCCTCGGTAGGTTAAAAAGGTCCTCTTTCAAAAGTACCTCTGAGAGAGACAGGGTATGTCTACACTACAGAGGTTTTTTTTTACAGATTTTTTTTTGGAAAAAACGTGTTTTTTCTGAAAAAACCTTGAATTACATCCACACTGCAATCATGTTCTTTTGGAAAAAATATGGAAAGAACTGAAGGGTTTTTCCAACACTGGTAAACATCTTTCTACAAGGACGAAGCCTTTTCCAGAAAGAGCTCTTTCAGAAAAAGGCGTGTGTGGATGGGGAAGAAGGAGTTCTTTCACAAGAAGAGGAAAGAGGGAAAAAACCCATTCCGCCCATAGTAATCACAGTTTACATGTGAGATTAGTGTTCATTCACTGTAGATGCTATCTGTGTCTGTCCTTTCGCAGTGTGGACATTCTCTTTTGGAAGAAGTTTTTTCGGAGGATCTTTTCCAGAAAAGCTTCTTCCGAAAGAAGCCTGCAGTCTAGATATAGCCACAGACGGGATGCTTGGGTGAAATGTTATTGATGCTTTCATTTTTTTTCTTCCCAATGCAGGGTTTCTCCCCTTGCACTAGAGACCACTAATACAGCACTTGTGACAGCCCCAAAGAGCTCAGTTAAAACTCCAAAGCTTACAGCATTTCTGTTAGATTTTCACTGAGATCAGAGGATTTTCTTCTGCCAGGCAATTTAGCAACTCCCAAGATTCCTTTTGAGTATCTCTGTCCTTCGGTAGTTTTAGAATACAGAAAAGCACTCTCACCAGAAACGGCTTCTCTAATGCAAATTTCTTTTACAGGGTTTTCATTTAAACCATTTAAAGAATGCCTGGAATTCATACAACACAATGAAAAAAACTGCATCCTTATGTCTCAGAACAGCATCATGCTGGGGCTGTATTCCTCCCTGGCCATTTGGTAATAGCCGAAGTCTCCTCCAGATTGCTTTGCTGTGTGACTGTGTTAGGCTTTATTTGGTCTCTACGGCGGCTTGGAACTTGGAAACTTTGGGCTGGATTCTGCCATCCGTGCTCATGCTGACTCGCACCATAGTTGAGGAGTCCTATTGAAATCAATGGGACTACTTGAGTGATCAGGTACTTCTCTACTTGAGTGAGGGTGGCAGAATTGGGCCAAGTCTACCAGAGGACGGAATATTGATGAGCCTGGAAGCCACCTTGGCTGAGCAGTGGTGGAAAAGCGTTGTCATTATGTCGCATACCAGGGATGGATAAATCGAGGTGCAGGAAAAACACCTTTCCTTTACACTATTATTATAATCAACATCATTGTGCCTAGGAGCCCTAACCATGAAGCAGGGCCATGCTTGGCACTGCCCTGTCATGGCACAATGAGACAGCCACTGCCCCCAAAGTGCTATCTAAGTTGGTGGTAATCCTAGCTCGTGCTTTGTTGCAAGCATTAGGAAGAATTCCTCTCCCCATGGGCTAGCGCTGGGCAGGTAGCTAGATACAGGATGAGTTTTCCATCTTCCTCTGTAGAGCCAAGTCTACCAGAGGATGGAATATTGATGAGCCTGGAAGCCACCTTGGCTGAGCACTGGTGGAAAAGCGTTGTCATTATGTCGCATACCAGGGATGGATAAATCGAGGTGCAGGAAAAACACCTTTCCTTTACACTATTATTATAATCAACATCATTGTGCCTAGGAGCCCTAACCATGAAGCAGGGCCATGCTTGGCACTGCCCTGTCATGGCACAATGAGACAGCCACTGCCCCCAAAGTGCTATCTAAGTTGGTGGTAATCCTAGCTCGTGCTTTGTTGCAAGCATTAGGAAGAATTCCTCTCCCCATGGGCTAGCGCTGGGCAGGTAGCTAGATACAGGATGAGTTTTCCATCTTCCTCTGTAGATCGGTGCCTTCGGCTGGTCCAGTAGTCCAGTCCCCTACAGCAAATCTGAAGTGGCTCTCTTGGCGATCTAGGTTTGCCAGACTTCAGGAGTGGGGCAACTTCAGGGAGCCTTTTGAAAAGGCCAGACGGTTGCTGAGGAGAACGAACGCCTCCTTCTTCGCGACAAGTGGATTCTGTAGATTCTTGGAGTGCGAGGTCCTTATGCTACGGAAACACATTGAGGAAAAACCTGAAAGTGTCCGAGAGACCCGTACAAAGACGCTCAAGGTGAGAGTGGGAGAAGGTGATGGTCGCATTGTGTGGAAAGACTGTGGAAGTGCAGTACAGCTGCAAGTGAAGGCCTGGTGTCTGTGGATGGCTGCTAGGTATGAAGGGCCTGATCCAAAGCCCCTGGTGTCTTCCCTGGGGTTTCTGTGGGCTTTGAATCAGGCGCATTCAGAACAGTCATCTCTCAAGTCTTCTTTCCCAGCCTGACTTACCATAATGCCCAGGGGCTGAAGCAGGCTAGGGGCAGTCCAGAGCTGGGGGCTGGTGGCGTGTAGGTGGCCTGGTAACTGGCAGGACAATCTCTATTACAGGCAGCCCAGGATAATGGTCGGCGTTCTCGTGGGGGGTCGAGAGAGCCAATCCAAAGAGGCGGGGTTGGCAAGATAGGTAGCTGTGGTCAGGGCAGCAAGGCGGTCCAGGCAGCAACCAGCAGCTTCCTCTTCCTGTTGGGGTCTTTATATAGTCCAGGTGCCCAATGAGAATGCAGTCAGCCCAGCCAATCAGGGCCCTAGCTGCGGTTGGTCCAGGGTAGAATTCAGTATGCTGCCATGGCGCAGAGGCTAGGATGCTAGAGACCCAGGGGGCTTGGATTTAATACCCGGATCCAGACACCTGCAGCCTTCCAGTCCTGTGCGTCTACTCAGCCCTGCTAGGCTGGAACTCCTGCTTTGAATTGCCTAGTTCCCTAATCGGGCACCTGGACTGGCTGTTCAGGTGGTGGACTGGTTTTGAAATCCCTTCCGTGGTGCACCCTAGCTCAGCATGAGCAATAATATGCTGCATGCGGGAGGGGGAGGAGGGCGTTGATCATAAATTTTCCTTCTTTCCAGGCCATTCATCTAAAATGTGATGGCAAGAATTGGAAAATCTCTCCGCCCCCCCCATAATACCCCAGAGGGGGCGGGAGATCCCCAGGCAAAATGACGTGTCCCCCAGGCGCACTTACTTACTTGGAGCGTGGAAATGGGTCAAAGGCGATGAATGGTATTTGCATGCTTCCAGCTGTGCGAGGGAGCAGGGGAGGCGCATGGCAATGTTTGTTTGCTGCCGCTAAGTTTGTGTTCATATTGTAGAGCTCTGTAGGGGAGACAGACCAACTTGAAACTGAATGCAATAGAAAGCAGGATGCCAGTGGAAAGTCTCCGAAAAGGGGGGGGGGGCGACCCTTGCTTAAACAGCGGTGTTTCATTCCCATAGCTCTATGTTTCCAGGGCCAGTGACGGATGCACATTTGTGGGCTGAGAGAACCACGACTGATTATTTGGACATGACGAGGATGTGGAAGAAGATGCCATTAACTGTGACTTGTCTCCATCTCAGTCACTTGGCAAGAAATGGATCTTTAGGCTCCTCTTAGCCTGCAAAGGGACCTCAAAGTTCTGGGATGTCATCCTGACACAACTCTCAATTGTTCTCCTGGTAGGACTTGGACCAGGGTCTTTCGCAATGCTCCACCAGCCCTATCTACTACCCTCGGGTTTACCACCTCAAAGCCTATGTCTTCCTGGTGTTGGGCAATGAAGAGCAGAGCCAGAACCACCTCGACCAAGCATTCAAACTCTGCAACACCTATGGAAACCTGCTGGAGAAGTCCTGGCTGGAGATCAGCAAAGTAAGTCCTGGGACCCGGTAATCTAAAAGCTTGTTCCTTCAGCATCAGATGAGCTGGTCTCTGGGAAGGGATTCAGGGCTCCCTAGCAGAAAGTGGAGCTGGTTGCAGGTCTATGGCTGCACCCGAAAGTCAAGGGAAGGCTTGGAAGGCAAATGATCAAAACAGTGGATGGAGCTGGTAAGAGCCTGTAGTAGGCTGTACCTCCCTAGTATCCCCTTGTGCTAGTGCTGTTCCAGGCTTCTGCCCCCTTGCCCGGTGGCTAGTCCAAACAGAAATTTGGTGAAGCCAAAGAAAGAGAGAAGGGAAAAAAGGCAAAAGTACCACAGAAGTACCAGCCCTCCTTCTTTCTGAGAGGGCCTGGGTGGGCGAGGCTCTGTAGCCGTTTCCCTCCTCCTGGGAGTGAGGGATGCTGCACTGCAGTCCTCGCCCTTCAGAGAGCTACCCCAAACTGGGTGGGCAGCCTCCTTTTTAAGCCCCGCCATCCTTAAGCCGGACAAGATTTACCGCTGTACAGGCTGGAGGCTGGTTGGGACGAGAGGAGCTCTTTAACAGGGCCGAGAGTTGCCCCACCATAAAGTCATACACCCCAAGCCCACCTCACTGCTCACTTCCAGGGAGGTTTGTGACGTTCTCGGACAGCCTGGGACTGGCATGGCATTCATGAACAAGGCTTGGGGGAGAAGTGTGCCCAGCACCTCGGCCTTCGCCCTGCCACGTATGTCCACACCCACTCACATGGAACAGACTCTGTCTAGGACTCTATTAACTGTGCTATTGCGTAGCCTGGAGCAGTGACTATTTAAAACCCCACAACGGATCAGCCCCCAGCTCTTGCCCCAGGTACTCAGCAGCACCCTTAGGGTGCGTCTACACAACAGGGTAAACTTGAAATAAGCCACACAACTTGAGCTACGCTAATTGTGTAGCTTAAGTCGAAATTGCTTATTTCGAATTTGAGCACGTCTACACAGCACTTATTTCGAAATCGGTCACCCTTCCTCTGATTTCCCTTACTCCAGGTACAATGAGGGTTATCGGAGTCGGAGTAAGAAGTCCTCCAGCTGGACAATATTTTGATAGCATGTCGAAATAACTGCTTGTGTGTAGATGCACATTGTTATTCCAGACTAACGGTGCTGTGTAGACGGACCCGTAGACTCTGTCAAGCTGGGGAGCAAGGTGCGGCTTGAGATTCCAGCCCACGTGTCTTAGTCCATTCAGCATCACAGAAAATGCCTTTCAGTCCTTGTGAGCTACTTTTTGGATGTGAAAATGTACCAGTGAGATCTGAGTTGGGCTGGGTATCATTCCCCCTGCCAGGTGCATTTTTCCCACTTCTGAGGACTTTGTGTGCCAGGTCTGTTCTGGTCTCATGGTAAGGGCAGTTGCCCTGCTTTATTGCCATATAGTCTGTTGTGGACAGAGAAGTCACTATGATATTTGCTCTTCCAGCATAGCGTATATCCTCAAATGAAAACCATTCCTATTACACCTTAGGGGGCTACGTCTACACTGGCCCCTTTTCCGGAAGGGGCATGTAAATTTCATGAGTCGTAGTAGGGAAATGCGCGGGGGATTTAAATATCCCCCGCGGCATTTAAATAAAAATGCCCGCTGCTTTTTTCCGGCTTTTAAAAAAGCCGGAAAAGAGCGTCTACACTGGCCCCGATCCTCCGGAAAAAGTGCCCTTTTCCGGAGGATCTTATTCCTACTTTGAAGTAGGAATAAGACCCTCTGGAAAAGGGCACTTTTTCCGGAGGATCGGGGCCAGTGTAGACGCTCTTTTCCGGCTTTTTTAAAAGCCGGAAAAAAGCCGCGGACATTTTTATTTAAATGCCGCGGGGGATATTTAAATCCCCCGCGCATTTCCCTACTACGACTCATGAAATTTACATGCCCCTTCCGGAAAAGGGGCCAGTGTAGACGTAGCCTAGCAGTGTGTAAGAAGGGGGAGGCTAACAAGCCTTAGCATCGCTCGGTGGTCTACCTGTATCATGGGGCATAGCCAGAGGTGAAAGCGAGTAGGGGCGCCTTGTGCGCAGCTCTGGCAAGTGCTGGCTAAGATGTGGTAAAAGCCAGCAGGGAGCTATTGAAAGAGCTGACTGGGCACTGGGTTGCGATAGGACAGTACCTGCAAGAAATTTCAACTTACTTTCATTGCTGGGCACAGCATGGGGAGCAGAGATGTTTCAATGGGGTCATTACTTCTCTTCCTACATGGGACAGGTGGGGGCGGTGGGTATAATAGGCGGAGGAAGGCACTGCCTTCCCAAACTGTGGACCTGGCTCCATCCATACTCTGCCCCTAGAACACCTGCTGTATTGGGAACGGAGTGTTGCTGCCCCCAAGCACCCACCTTCCAGGGCAAAGAGATTTGTGCTTGGTTTAGGCCTGGTGCAGATTACAGCCGGTCCCCGAGTTACGAACGCATCGACTTACGACCGTTCGTATTTACGACCAACCTCCTATACAGCCGGAACCCGAGTTACGAACGGAATCCGCACTTATGAACACTGCGGTCATACTTAAGTGAATGTAATCTGATTTACGAACAGATCGAGTTCGACCTAGTGTTTGGTATGTAACTCGTTCGTAAGTCGGGGACCGGCTGTACTCCCTTCCCCAAAGCCAGGTGAGATCCAAGGATCAATCTGCAATTTGCATAATCCCAGTTTGTTCCCTGGTCTGCTTGTGGGGCCGTGCAGAATAGCAAGCTGTAGGAATGCTACCTCAGTAGATCTGGTCTCATTCTGGCCTCTCATTTCCCCTTTTGTTCTCCCTAGGAGTGGTGGTTCACTGCAAAAGGCCCCATGGAAGACTTATGGTTCAAAGCCGCACCAGATTTTCCCAAGTGGGAAAAAGGAATGACAGAGGAGGACTTTCCAGAGATCCATAAAACCAAGTACTTGCTGCGGGTGCCAGCGCTGGATATTAACAATCCTTTCCCAGAACCTGAGGTTGTAGATGTTTGAGCTGCATGTAGTTCTGAAATGACCCGGAGCACTTTGTAAGCTTTCTTTAGCCAGCACTGCCCACATTTGTAAGCATTTATGACATTCCTGCGCCACACATAACAACGCCTGCCCTCTCTCTGCAAAACCCTCCGCATTGGCTCATCTCTTCCTTTGATAAAGTCTGGATTCTAATGTCTTGCCCTTGCTTGCTTAGACCATTTTTTCCACTCTGACTTAAACTCTGCAATAGCTCTTCATTATAGTAATGTATTCCTTTATAACCAGAGCCCCATTTCTCTCCCTTCTTCACTTTGCAGTGAAGCCTGCTGTGCATGATGGGGAGCCCAAGGTACCGTGGAAGCTGTATTTCCTTGGCCAGCTCCCTGCCTAGAGATCTGGCCCTGGAGCAGGGAAGAGACTACATTTCCCAGTGTGCCCTTAGTTGTTAGCATCAGGAAACGGGAGGGAAGGGAGTGGGAAAGTTGTGAGTTTTGCACAGGAGAAGCAGCTTGTTGTGAATGGAGAGCTGGTTGCTAGAAGGGGCTGGTGCTATGAATGGGGAACATGTGTGCACAGCGAGTAGGTGGCTTTAGCCCAGTCTCACACTCTTCCCCAGACTGGATAAGGGATGCCCATGGCCTCAGTTTGCCACCCCCAAAGAAGAAATTGGGTGGACAGTTCACCATTATCTGAAGTCTAGCAAGGGAAGTATGTGGATGCCAGCAGAGAGGGCCTGGGTAGCTTTAGATGCAATGCCAGGCTCACAGGAGGATCCAACTCCATTTCCACAGCCATGGACACAGAAATGGACTTTTCCTCTCCAGATTCATCCAATACTGGGAAAGAGAACCTATCCCTGCCTTCCAGATTTGAACAGGAGTGCTCAATTTTAACTTGGGCTGCTCTTACATCATTTCTTCAAAATCAAATACTGATTCACTATAATTTGTGGTAGGAAACTAAGATAAAACTGAGCAACAAATGCTAGCAACTTCCTGTTCCTAACTGGGACTGGAGTTACTATTTTCAACTGCCATTACTCTTTTTTTTCTCTCAAGTTTTCTTCTTTTAAAAAGAAGACCGTAATATTGCATGGGAGATTTTCTCACAGAAACAAAGAGTGGAATAATAGAACAACAAAGGCGCCTCAACTTGTCCTCATTATGTGGGACAGCCTTGCAGTATGGATCCAGACAGCCTCCAATCACACAGGGTGAAAATCGTTCCACTTTAGGGATTTGTCCGAAAGGGCCAGGTAGCTGCTGGCCATGAGGGGTGAAATAAGGGTGGTCCTGGAGATATGGCAGCAGAATGTCTGGATAAGGAAGTCAAGTATCAGAGGGGTAGCTGTGTTAGTCTGACTCTGCAAAAGTGGCAAGGAGTCCTGCTTCTGACGAAGTGCGTCTTTGCCCACGAAAGCTTATGCTCCAACACTTTGGTTAGTCTATAAGGTGCTACAGGACTCCTCGCCGTTTTTGGATAAGGAAAGAGATACATGGGGCGGGTTTCCCCTGATCACTGACAGTTCTGCCCACTGTGGACACTGGTAAAGACACGGGGTGTACAGCTCAAGGAGACAGCCCGGGGCTGAGGAAGCCGTGTACCCAGCCGGTGCACACTACAGCCTTGCAGAGGTGTGAGATCCACATGGAAAATGCTTCTGGGCAGAGGTATCTTTATTGCTAGGTGGGTGGGTCCTGTGTGGGAAACACTGACAGTCACCGACCCCTTGGCCCTTCTCTGTGAGCTACCACGGTCTGGAAATCGCCAGCCCGGTAGGGAGCGTTTGTGGCGCGCACCCCGTTTACACGGACCACGCCGCTTCTGGAAGCGGAGTAGGCGGTGACGCGTCCGGGGCACCCGCGCAGCGAGCGCGCCGTGAGCAGAGCCAGCAGCAGGGGGCGCTGCGCGCTGCCTTGACAAGCTGC